AGCTTCCGAGGAAAATCCAGGAGCTGCAAATGTGATTGAACGAGACAGGTTATGAGCTGAGAGCTCGCCTGTGCAAAGAAATGGCCAGTCAGTGCCAGTCTAAACAAATATGTACATCCCTCAGAACACCTCCCTCCCTCCCTCTGGGAGCTTTAGTCAAAAAGAAAAGTGACTTTGATCTGGCAGAATTCTTCAAATTTGCTAGGAAAAAAAATCCCCAAACCAGCAAGATGGCAAAGCAGCTGCTGTGGGTCCTGTAAAGGGACTTGGCACAAGGATGAGTCTGCTCACAGCAGGGGCAGCCAGGGATGCTCTGAAGGTGACAGAAATACAGTGCCACGTGCTCTGGGGAGCAGGTTAAAGCCACATTTCTGGGCCCACGTCAAAGCCATTGCAGGAGGTGATTCAGTGACACACAGAGCTGGTGATAAGGTGCTGCTCCTGCCTCCCTCTGGGCTGTGCTCACTGCGGGGGAACAGCACAGATATGGGGCAGAATGTGAGGGTTTGACCCCAAACACGACTGGAGAGTGTGGGGATGAGCCTCAGAACCCAAAGCCAGTGAGCAGGCTGGCTGAAAACAGAGACACCAGCAGAAATGTTGCAGCCTTTGTAGCGCTGCACACCCACTTTGCACTGGGGTTTGCTGTAAACGACAGCGCAGGAGCAGAAGAACGGGGAGTTGGCTCCTGCAATCCGTGAAGGCTGGAGCCTCGATGCAAAAAGCCACACCAAATTAACCTGGGGATGTAGATTTATAAGTGAATTATTGTGGCTTGCAATTTGCTGGGCTGCAGTAATTGGGTTTGTGCGTGTTCTCAGCTGGTGGCAGATGCTCCGGGGCACGTTCCTTCATTATGCTGGCACCAACACGCCTACCTGGCTCTTGCCACGAGGTGAGATTATGCAGAGGGTGATTTGCTGGGGCTCAGGTAGTGCCTGTAACCTGTTTAGATGCCTTCTGTGCCTGAGCCCACCCATCACAGGGAACACTCAGCTCCACGGCAGCTCTCGGGGTGTCTGGTGAGAAACACATCCGATGGCCCTCGTGATAAACAAGCCCCAGATCACTTCAAAGGTGAAACCAGAATCACTGGGGAAGATTACAGGGGGTGCAACGCTGGGAACTGGGACATGATTCAGAGGTATCAGGGAAAATGTGGGTAAATTCCACCTTCCCCTAATTAAAAAGGGCAGAGGGAAGTTTTCCGTGGGGGAGGCTGATGGAGATGTTCCTCCTCACCCAGCCAAGGACTGAGTGCAGCAAGAACCAGGCACTGAAGACCCAAAGCCTTGGGGAAGAGCTCGTGACCCTCAGTCACAAACACCGTGGTCCCACTAAGGTGGTCCCAGCAGTGGGACAGGACTCCCCCATTCCAGGGGGCTGTTCAAGGGGATGGTAAAGTGGATTTAGTGCCTGCAGAGGAGGAGCTGTGTGGGACTGGGCTGGGGGGGTGCACAGGCACCCTGGACAGGTTAACTCAGGAGCAGAAAAGCTGGGGGTTTTTGCAGCAGGACTCATCCCCCAGTCCTAACTGCATGTACTCCAAAAGTCCCAAATCCACCTCTAAACTTTAGGCGTAATAAAGTAGATTTGAATTTTTCCCCTCTTCCCACAAACACGGGGAGTCTTCCAGCTTGTAGCTGAATTCCACCTTTTCTCTGCTTTTGTCTCTCTATTCCTTCCATGGTGGCTGTTGCTGATTTTTCTCCCTCTTACTTTCTGGATGTGTCTGAGGGGGTTCATGTTCTGTGACATTTTCCTGCCCTCCCTGGAGTGTCCAGAGATGAGCCATGAACAAAACACAACTGTGGCTCAGCCAACAGGAGCAGCAAATTGGGCAGCAAATAGACCTCCTCAGCTCTCCTGGGGGGAATCATACTGGGTGTTAGACAGCTATTTAAGCAAAATAAAGACAGGTCAGTCTGAGCAAAACCTTTTGGCAGACTGGAGTCTTTTCCAAAATGAGAAAATTGATTCCCTGAACTCCTTCTAAGGTTCTTTTTTCCCTTGTTTGGAGTAGACATTAAAGTTTGTCCAAAGAATAACAGTAAAATCTTCATGGTGATAAGAACACTCCTCTGCCTTGTTAAGAAATAAGCCTGTGCTGAAGAGCAGTAAAAGTGCCATGGAATGAGCCCAGATATGCCCCAAATCACAGCTAAACTCTCTCAGTATCCATAATATTTTTTTGTTTTTTTTTTTTGTTTAATTTTTACCTGTTGCCCATGGAAGTGATCTCCAAGCGATGTTTTCTCAGGGGAAATCAGAGCAAGGTGTTCCAGGGACCACGAAATCCCCTCACCAGACTGTCCCCAGGGTGCTGCCCTCGGTCCTCCCTGGGGCTGTGACTGCAAATGCTGTCAGGCTTCAAACACCATCAGTGCTGGGGTTGGGTTTGTTTGAGGTTTGGGGTTTTTTTCTCCCCAAAAATAAGAGAACGAGGCCAGTAGCAAATTGCAGAGGAGAAGGGTTCCCTGCTGTGCTCTGAGCCACGAGAAGGGAAAGCAGCAGCTGATGAAAGGATCAAAGGATGTTAAACTTGCTGGGGGTGAAATGCCTGGTAGGAGAAAACAGCAAGTGCTCCTTGATGCCCAGTCAGGCCCCTTTTTCCCATCACTCCAGTGGAAGTTGAGCTCACACCCGTGTGCTGGGTGGGGAGCTGCTTTTTGAAGTGTTATGTGGCTTTATTTCAAAGGAAGAGGATTAAAACACTCCCTAAAGCTGGGGAGCAGCACAGGTAAGTGCTGGATAGTCTGGAAAGAGAGCAGCCAGAGCAGGATTAATTATGTCAGGCCATGAAAAGGCTGTGGAGGGAGTCAGGAATGTCTCACACTGACGTCTGATACAGTACAGAGCCTACAACCACCTCCTTGGAATAAAAAGAAACACATAGAATTCACTATTTCTTCTTACATTAAAATCACTGCCTCCTACATTCACATCATTGCTGTCAGAAACATCTTGATTTTCCACACCTAAGGGGCTATGGAAAAAAACAAGCATTTCTGCTAAAAATAAACTTCCCCCCCCCCAAGCTGTATTTATTCAGATCTGTTTTCCTCTAAAAATGTGGGACTGTTTAAATTTTAATTTCATCACATACCTGCATAATTGCAGCGGTGCCAAACAAACAAATTGCAGTCACTGGGAAGCAGGAGCAGTGCAGAGCACAGATGCAAAGGGATTTAATTTCAAAACATTCTGCCATGGGCAGGGACACCTCCCACTAGCCCAGGTTGTTCCAGCCTGGCCTTGGACACTTCCAGGGATCCAGGGGCAGCCACAGCTTCTCTGGGCAACCTGTGCCAGGGCCCAGGAATTTCTTTCCAATGTCCCATCTGCCCCTCTGGCAGTGGGAAGCCATTCCCTGTGTCCTGTCACTCCCAGGCCCTGGTAAATAGTTTCTCTCCATCTTTCTTTAGGCTCCCTTCGGGTCCTGGAAGGAGCAATTAGGCCACCCCAAAGCTAAAGCAGGAAAAAGTGACAAAAAAATGAGGAACTGCTCACCCAAGCAGCTCTGGGCACCTCAAAGACACAATTTTTGTGCCATAAGGGTCAGCAATTTTTGATCTCTTTGAGTTCACTTAAGGGCTGGACTCGGTGTTGGTCCCTCCCAGCTCAGAGCACGCCGTGGAACCCAAGCAGTGCCCCCGAGAAAAGAGCTGTGTGTGGGGGGTTCCTGTCCTGCCACTGCCCCCTGCCAAAGACACCCCTGGCATGTGCATTTATCAGCACTGATGAAGTGCTGATAAGGGGGGTTGGAGGTGGGGGAAGAGGGGAGGGGAGTGGGGGGAGATGGAGACCCGCGATTAATTTTAGGAGTAACGAGCTGCGGGTTGCGCAGCCACAAAGCGCAGGCTGCAATGCACTTTTCCAGAGTTTGTAAAGACTCATTTAATTTCTATAGAAACTGAGCAGCAAACAGGTAATTTTCTCTGCAAATTGCTTCTATCACCTCTGTAATGCTCTGCAAGAGGAATGTGTTTCCCTCGTGTCTTCTTAATCCCCCTGCTATTTTCATTATAAATTTAATTAAGCTCTTCTAGAGAACGTTCCATGTCACACGAGCTGAGTTTTGGCTTTCTGTCGGAGTGAGGACAGAAAGGAGCTGATGAATTGTGTGGCAATTTGGATTTCTTTTTGCTGTGTAAATATTTCGAACGATATTAAGCAGTAGACACATTTGCTGAATCAATACAGCTGAAGTTGAGGGAAAGAGCTGCACAGAAAGGTCTGAGAATCCCAGCAAGGTGTGCTGTGCTTCCCCACGTTCCAAGAACCTGAATGGCACATTTCACCAAATTCCCTGGCCTACCATCCTGCTCATTTCCTGCAGGAAACCCCACGAAAGCCAAACAAACAAACAAACAAAATGAAAATAAAATAAAATAAACAAACAAAACGAAAGAAGGGAAACCACTCCCTTGATTTAGTTCAGTTATGCTGAGACTTTGAGTTATCTAAAAAATCTGAGGAAATAACTGAAACATCAGAAAGATTTTGCCTTCTCCACTCTCCTGTGAGGAGAGGACAGGAGCCACTGCCCTGTTATCTGCATGATAGAGGCACTGGAGCCATCCTGAATGTCAGCTCCTCCTGGCACAGAGCAGGCAGAACAAGGACTGGATCATCTCACCGAGCTCAACAACAACCAGCTTTAGTCACCACATTGCAGGATTTCCCTGACTAATGAGAGCTGGATAACTCTCCCAGATCCCTGGGAGAGACCAGGGTGGTTCCTGAGAGCCACTGGGGACCTTGGCATTTAGGCTTCAATGAGGAGCCTTCCCTCAATTCCTTGGGCACCAACTTCATGCACAAGGGTGTGATTGTCCCTCCTGCCCTGCACTGCATCTGCTGAGTGAGGAAAGCACTGGCAGCAGAGCAGTCCCCTCAAAGCACTGGAGGGATGGAGTGGCATTATTCTGGAATTCCTTTTCTCTGTGCTGCATCCATTTAAATACTCTCTACTAGGGAATTTTTTTTTTCCTTCCTTGCTTTATTTAATTCTTGTTACAAAAATGAGATGTCATCAATCTGACACATTACTGTACCATATGCTTGGTGTCTATTTCCAGCAGCAGGTGAGAATCTCATTATTCAATTCCCACCTGTGCCAAGGTCATTTTAACACCAATTTTCTCTGTAGGAAAACATGGAATAAAAGCAATAAAATCCGTGGAAGACATGTAGATATGCTGTGCACAGCTTCAGCATTGCCCATATGAACAGGGACTACATATATCCCTTTCCATCCCTGCACAGCAAGAATTAAACAGGAAAGCATTGCCTACAGCCAATATCACCAAGGCAAAATGTTCTACAAGCTTGGCCAGACCCTGGAAAATAACTTGTCAGCTCCCTTCTGCAGCTTCATTTTTCTTTTACTCTTTTACTGTTCATGCTTAGAAACTCCCATTTAAAAAAAGGAAAGTAGTCACCAGGTGCTTAAAGTCACAAGGTGCTTTAAGGAATAGCACCTGGCACTGGAAAACTCAAGCCATAAGTGCCAGGGCTGATGAATTTACAAATCTGTCCTTCCCGGAACGAGTCTGGGTCTCGAAACCTTCGCCTCGTGCACCGGAGTCCTGCTCCCCGGTCTGTTCAGCCCCGACTCGTGGCCCTGCAGCAGAGTGATGATGTTTTCCCTCTGGTGCCTGACTGCCAGCTGCAGGGCCGTGCAGCCGGTGATGTCCTCCACGTCCAGCAGCGCCCCAGCCTTGATCAGGGTCTTGACGATGGCCATGTTGCCCTTGAGCACGGCGAGGTGCAGGGGCGTCCAGCCCACCTTGTTCCTGGCGTTGACGTCGGCCCCGCACTCCAGCAGGTTGATGACGGCGAGGAAGGAGCCCCTCAGGACGGCGAAGTGCAGGGGGGCCCAGCCCGACCTCTCGGGCACGTTGGGGTCCGCGCCGCCCCGCAGGAGCTCGCGCACCACGGGCTCGTCGCCGTAGCGGGTGGCCAAGTGCAGGGGGTCCAGTCCGTGCTGCCCCGCGCGCTGAGCCGGGCGCGGCTGCGCCGCAGCAGCCGGATGATCTCCACGTGCCCTTTGAAGGAGGCCAAGTGCAGGGGGGTCCAGCCTTTGTCCGTCCTCAGCTCCACGTTGGCCCCGTGCTTGATGAGCTTCTCGCAGATGAGCAGCTTGCCCCTGACGGCGGCCAGGTGCAGGGCGCTGTAGCGGTTCTGGTCCAGGCTGTTCACGCTCGTGCCGTTCTTCAGCAGGTAGTGCACCACCCTGAACTTGCCCCTCTCCACGGCCACGTGCAGGGGGGTCCTGTGGTTCTTCTGCTTCCTCTCCAGGTCGGCCCCTTGGCTGGCCAGCAGCTTCACCAGCCCCACGTGGCCGAAGCAGGCCGCCACGTGCAGGGCGGTTTTCCCGTCCGCCTCCTGGGTGTTGGGGTCGGCCTGGCGGGACAGCAGCACCCGCGCCACGTTCTCGAAGTTGTTCTGCGCCGCCAGGTGCAGGGGGGTCCACCCGTCGTGCTCCTGGGCGTCCACGCGGGCCTGGTGGTCCAGCAGCAGCCGGACGGTCCTGTCGTCCCCGTTCTGGGCGGCGAAGTGCAGGGGGGTCCAGCCGTCCTCGTCGGGCACGTTGGGGTCGGCGCCGTGCTCCACGAGGACGGAGCAGATCTCCGGCAGCCTCTTCTGCACAGCCATGATCAGCGGGGTGTAGCCACAGCCCACCTGGCTGTTCACGTTGGCCTTGCAGCTCAGCAGGAACTTCACCTTCTCCACGTTGCCCTGGATCACCATGAGGTGAAGAAGGGTGAGCCCGTTTTCGTGGACTCTGCAGATCTCCTCGGACAGGATCTCCTCTGGGCTCTCGGCCTCGCTGTAGGGAGGTGGGAGAGGAACCTCCTGGTTATCCGTTTCTAAAGGCAGGAGAAAAAAAGGGTTAAACCCTGTGAAACCGGGAGGGAGAGCCTGTGACTCTTCCTGGAGTGAAAGGAAACAAAGGCATTTTAGAGATAAGGAGTGTGAAATGATGCCAGTCCACTGCTCTGCAGCCTCTCAGAGCGCAGTGGGACATGTGGCCTCTCCCTCATGGGAACTGTATCTGCTCTTTCCCCTAGAGTTCATTTTCCTTAACTTAAAACATCACCCACGTGGAAAAGTTTATGAGCCACATCCTCCTACAAAAACCAGACAGTTTTGGTAGGCTTCCTCTTTTTATTTGTCAACCATAAAGAAAGTCCCCTACTCACCATCACTCCTGGTGTCTTGGGGGAAGGTGAACTCCTCTTTGTCACTCTTGTTTTCAGGAAGTGGAAAAGAAAAAGCCATAAGACAGAAGTGTTCAATTGCATTCTGTGATGTCTGCACACAGTCCTTGGCTACTGCTCCAGAGTATCTGTGTTATCATTCGAGTTTTATGATTTTTATTATTGATTATCATTCTATTAATATTTTCATCAATCCTGTTATTGCACCCAAAACTCAGCTGGGCAAATCAGGACACAACAGGAATGTGGGAGCCTGAAAATGATCTCTGGGTATCACTGAGCTCCTAAACATACACATATTCTGTTTTCTTTCTGCATCATGTGCCTGTGGCAGCATCACAAAGTCATTCCTTCGTTTTTAGGGACCCCCAGCCCCCCACCTCTTCAACCCTCTGTGCTCAGGTCTCTTGTTTCTTGCTGACTGCAGAGCTTGGCAAAACCCCTAAATGCCAACAGTTCTCAGCCCCTGTTTCTCCCTCTGTGAAGCTGAGTTCTGGACACAGTTCCACTCTGGTAGGTAGGAGAAAACTGCACATTTCTTATCCCCATAAATGAATTGCAGGTGCACGACCCATGCAAACACACTGAGCAAAGGTGCTGAAGTGCCCTTGTCTGATGAGAGAGGAAACACTCTCAAGGAGTGCCGAGCACAGGGATTTCAGTGGGATTTCCTGAGAGGCCCTGGGGAGTTCTCCTCACCTGCTGGTTCCCAGAGATGGCAGGTTTGTGGGACATCTTCCTGACCAGGCGCTCGTTCTCTGGGTCCACCACCAGGCTCTGTATCAGTGCCAGCAGCATGTCTGTCTCCACAGGGATATCTGCCAGAGCAACACTCTGTCAGCTGTGCAGGCTGCCCAGGGGCTCACATCCCAGGCAGGACACAAGACTTCCACATGGGAAGAAAGGGAAAAAAGACAGAGAGGATGCCTGACAGCACACGGGCACCAGGTGGTTAAATCTCGGAGACGTCACCGGGGAAGTGACACACAAGCTTGTTAATCCCTGCAGCTGGTTTTTGGATAACCCCATCACATTCCCACCTGAAAAGCTTGGCCTTTGCTTGGGGTCTTGGTCCCAGCACCTCTTCATCAAGTCCACCATCTGCTGGCACTCCCCGGGCCAGTCGTCGCTGATGAGCTCCAGCCCAGGCCTCTTCCCCGCGGCCACCCTGACTATGATGGCCATCATGTTGGCTCCTGGAACAGAGCAGCACACTCTGGGCTCTTCCTCTGTGAGGACAGCTGCAGTGAACGCTCCCCAAGTGCAGAGCCAGGGAGAGGGGCTCACATTTACCTGCATAGGGTTTCTTCTGCATGAGCACCTCCCAAATGACGATGCCGAAGCTGCGGGCAAGGGGAGATGGTGAGCGGTCACTGCCATGTGTACAGAAAGTTCACTTACTGCTTTTGCCCTCTCGAGAAATGGGGAAATTAGGGAAGAGGGTTTTCAGCATGGAAGGATTTCAGCCCCCAAAGCCAAAAGGATCAGGTCTCATGGTTCTGTCTCACACATCCCTGATGCCCCAGTGAAAGGGTTGGTGCAGTGAATTAGTGATTTTGAGCCTTTCCTGTCCAACTTGGGCTCTCAGTGCCTTTTTTTCACTTCATTCACGTTGGGTTTTAGAGGCCCTGACTACTGCAAGTTCATGTGGCCATGCAAATCCTCCTCTGCTTCTTGCCTTTGGTTATTGTTTGGTGTAGAGGCCAAGGAGACAAGGATTTTCCAGACATTTATCTGTAGCTTGTGTAAATATCCTTCAAAGCTCTTTGCCCCAAAGGAAAAAAAAATCACATTGAAATCTCTTCTCCATCTGTTACTGACCAAAATGAAGCTGGATACTGAAGCAGACAAGCAATATTACAGTTGTTTTAAAAGCAAGCAGTGACTGCTATGAAAGAGCAGACACTGTGTGTTCTGGGCTCTAATCTGACTCATTTTTATAATAACTTCCAGCAACCAAACAGGGTGTGATGGCACCTGAGGCAATACAGTCAGCAGCTCACATGGGATGGGTGCTGCTGGTAAGGGATGATGATTATCCACAGAAGATCCCCCTCCCTCTCGGTCTCCAGCACAGAGGTTGGGCACCCCATCACTGCCAGGCTGTTCCCCACATTATAAACCAGGATTTACCCAAAATGGGGCAATGGGCAGTGCCTGTCACTCTGTGGAAGGGCTCAGGCAGCTCCCTGGGTGCCCTCTGGCAGCCCTTACCTGTACACATCGTATTTGATTCCCGGGGGTTTGCTGTTCTGCAGGAACATTTCGGGGGGGATGTAGCTCAGAGTGCCCCTCAGAGCAGAGCTCTCAATGTACTGCATTCTGCTGGATTGCTCCATCCATTTGGAAAGCCCAAAGTCTGAGATCTGCAGGCACAAACAGTGAGAGCCTTTCCCCCGTGGTGCTCACGCCTCACCCCTCCTCCTGTCAGCTGGGACATGCCCCCCTCCCTCAGGATCAGGGACATGGGGAGGGTCCAGGCAGCTGAAACTTGGTAAAACCCTGACAAACTGCACTCAGTCCCTGTCACTGGGTCCAGCAGAGCAGCGTTTCCTCCTAGGCTGGAGCCTTAAATTCCCAGGTCTGGCACAGATTCCCAGGCTGACCTCGAGATTATCATGCAGTTTGTTTGCCAGTTGCTCCTTATAAGCCCCACTGGCCAATTTTTCGTGGGGTGTTCCTGAAGAACTCAACATACCAGGATTCTGCACTTGTTTGGCAAAAATAACCTTTCCCTTGTTGAGAAAGAACCTGTCTCTTCAAACACCCAGTGAGGTCATACCTTGACGTGCATATTCCCATCCAGGAGAATGTTCCCTGGTTTCAGATCCAAGTGCAGCAAAGGGGGTGTCATGCTATGCAGGAAGTTCATAGCCAAGCCCATCTCGTGGATAACCCGGAATTTGAGCTGCCACGACATTTTGTGAGTGGGCAGGATTTTCTCCAAGGACCCTCTGGCCATGTATTCCATCACTATCCCCAGGGGGCTGTTGCAGACCCCGTAGATGGTGACGATGTGCTGGAATTTGATTTTCTCCATCTTGGTCGCCTCCTCCATGAGGCAGTTCATGCTGGTCCTGGAAAAGTGAGAATAAACAGTAAAACAGAAAGTGGAACCGAGACATTGCCTCAGCTGGTTCACAGGCTCAGTAACTCTGTGGCAGCTCAGAGATATCCAGCCCTGCCCACCCCAGAAAGATTCACCCCAATTTGCCCCTTGAATTCATGGCAATGCAGCCACATCAGGGGGGTGGAACTGGAGGATCTTTGAGGTCCCTTCCAAGCCAGACCTTTCTGGGGTTCTGTGAAATTCCCAAGGGATGTTTCACAGCACCAGGAGCAGGCAGAGCTCAGTGAACCGCGGTGTCCCCAGGCCATGCCTTGCCCTACCTGTGCCTGCAGCCTCCTGGCCCTGAGCAGGGTGAATGAGGTCTCAGAGGGAGCCCAGACACGCCTGTTCCTCACTGCCAGCTCTGCCAGACCTGCTTCACTGAGGGCAGACCTGTTCCACTGCAGCTTTGCGTTTCCCAGCCTGCTCAACGAGTTGGGGTGCCCGGAGCACTCTGAGAGCAGCCAAGCAGTGAAGTGCCAGGGCTGCCTTTAAAAAGCACACCCTGGGAATGGATCTGAGCTTCCAGCCACTCACAGACCTGAGATGGTTCAGCCAAGCAAAGCCCTCTGCCAGGCTTCCTCCAGCAGCTCCCTGCAGTGACTCGTACCTGGGTGTGGAGCAGCTGCAGGTATTTGACAAGAATTGACAGATGCAGAAGTAAAACTGATTATTTAGACTCTTTTTTACACCCTCTCCCTCCCCCCAAATGAGAACAAAATGCAAGTGTAATATCTGCAAAGCAGTGCAAACTGAGGACAGTCACTGCTCAGGCTGACCCATCTCAGTTGTTGTCAGTAGTAAGAAATCATAGCAGGGTGAGATTTTTAGCCAGGCAGCATTTTCCCAGCTTGAATGTAGTAAAATTTGAAATTAAATTACTTCATCAGTTCAGTTGTTTTTCCATCAGTTCTGCCTGTACTGTATGTGTTATCAGCAGTGGTTGTGATTACCTGGTTCTGCTCCATCTCCAGCCCCAAGGTGGGTCAGCAGAAGAGTCTCTGCAGATGAGAGACAGAGCAAAAAGCAAAGTGAAGGTGCAGGTGCCCCAGCGAGAGGAAAGAGCAGGTCTGGAGGCTCCAGCAAGTGAGGGAGCAGAGCTTTGGGAGCCCAGCCAAACCAGCTGTAAATTCTCTGTCCCTCAGCTCTAATGGTGTTTGTAATGACTGATTTGGTTTAACACACACACACACCAGTCCCAATGTCCAGTGAAAGCTGCAACCAAGTGATCAGGTTGTTTTTACCCACATGCCCACCTGTAAGGTGCCTTTCAGCCTCAGATCCCAACACCAACTGCTCTGAGTAACCCCGTTCCCTGTGCTCCTTCCCCCCTGCACGTCCACACCTCAAACAGGAAGAGAGGCAGAACTCCACACCACCCGTGCTTTTCCCACTCCCTTTGGGTCCCAAAAACTCGGCTTCCCAAGGAGCAGCAGCCACATGAAGCTCACCCCAAGAGCACCAAAGCACCCCGGGCAGCTGGGGTGGGCAGTGTGAGCTGTTACCTGTCCGTGCCGGAGTCCTGCAGCAGGTACGGGGAGCATTTCACGGCATAAACTGTCCTCCACCTCCTGTGCTTCACCTGGTACACGTGCCCAAAGCCTCCACTGGCCACCTTCACCCAGTCATCCTCGAAGTCCTCCTTGTTGAAGACGGTCAGGCTGCCCAGCTGCCGCTCCCTCTCGGCGGTCATGGCAGGACAGGCAGCACTCTCTGCCTGCTGCCTGGCTGCTGTCAGCGGGGAAGGAAGGAGCTCCTCCTGCTCCTGCCCTGCCTGGGGAGTCAGCCCAGGTGAGCCCTGCTGCCTGCTGCCAGGAGGAGGATCCTGTGTGTCACTCTCATTTACCATGCAGAGGAGCTGCGTGACCCAACTCCAGCAGTGCGTGTCTGCTTTGCTCTCCTGTATTCCCACTCTGTGGGGAAATGCTCAAAGAACACCAGGTGCAAAGTGGGGCAAACAACAATCCCTTAGAAATTGCACTGGGCTGAGGGTGGGATTCCTCACCTGGGGCATCACAGGGGAAAGTGAGGCAGGAAAGGGAAGGAAGAGGGAAATCCGTGAGGCTCCTGTGCAGCAAGACAAAGAAGGGGAAAACACTCCAGAAAGACCAAAAAGAGAGAAAACCCCCAGAACTAGAACGTGGTGAACACGAGTTCATGAGCCTGAGAAAATGCTTCAGCAGGAATACAAGAACTGCAGTGACCCAGAGCAGATCCCTCTGGGATCAAACCTGCCCCTGGATGCCTGTAAGGGGTGTTTGGAGGAACGAAGAACACTGGTCTGAGCAGCTCAACCGTCCCCACGTGAGCAGCAGGCACAGCACACATCCCTTGGCTGTGACAGGGGTTTGATGGCCTTGTCTGGGTCTGTGCACACAGGTCTGTAATGATCCAGCTCTCCCTGGAAAAGGTGAAAAGCCAGCCGGGCTCTGCAGCCTTTCAGGGAGGAAAAGAACATTAGAAGGTGACTATTGCCAATTCCCTGCCACTCCCTAAGGTGTGATGCTGGTCCTGCCCCAGCCACCCCCACTCCCACCTGCTGGCACTCACCTGCCAACACCATTTTGGAGCTGAGGACAGGCACAAGGGCACTCCATCTCCCTCATGTTCAGGCACAGGCAAGACAAACACTTACTGCAATGCTCAGTTTTATTACAGGGAGCTCAGGAGAGGGTGAGGGAATAGGGGAACACAGTCCATGGCTGCAGAGTGGCACTCTCCCACAGACCTTTCAGGGGTGCCCCTTTCTGGGCAAACAGCTCAGACTTCACACACATTCCAGGGCCAGCTTTAATGGCACTACCATAACCATGTGGGGCAGTCATGCTGACCATTTACAGCATGGCCCCAAAGGCAGGGGGATCCCTTCCCAGAGGTGCCTTCCCAGTGCCTTCCAGCTCCTTCCACGCTCCAGGGGTGCCGCTTCCTCCTTCCCCTGGTGCATTGGCCACGAGGTGCTCTGCCAGGGGTCCCTTTCCCACCTGTCCTCTGGCAGCAACGGTGAAGAAACCGGACCCAGAAGCTGAATGTGGCGAGTTCTTTTTCTGTTCTCCCACATTCAGCCTCAGGGACAAACCCTTTGGCATTCCCAACTTTCTCCCACAGTGTGGAACAGGCAGGTGCTGGAAGCTCGTTAGAGAAAACAGTCCCATGAGTGAAGCCAAAGGAGGAAGGGACTGGGCTCCTGGGAGGTGAGAAGAGCTGTCAAGCCCAGGGGGTGGAACTCTGGGAGCCCTTGGGTCCTGTCCACATTCCCACATTTTTCCCAACGCCGTGTGCTCCCCGATGGCAGGCTCTAGTTTTATTTTAGTTTTTTTATTTTAGGCTCTGTTTTGCATGGCTCCCTGGGCCAGCAGAAGCTCTACAGAAGCAGTGCAGTGTGCCAGGCAGGCACAGTGCCGGGGGAGCTGCAGGACCAGGCAGCTCCTCCAGGCTCACGGCCCACGGATGTCCCCAAAGGGGGGGTAGTGCAGGGGTTTGGTTTTCTGCCTGTGGTGCAGCCAAAGGCTTATGAAGGCACTGCCCAGGACAGCAAAGCCAGCGAGGGAGCCCAGCAGGATGGGCAGCAGCACGGCAGAACCGGGACCTGAAACGAGAGAGGGAAGCAGGGAGTGAAGAGGGAAGGTTAAACCCCCCCATCTTCAGAGCATGCCAAGGAGATGTGGCAATTTCTATCCCCAGAGCAGTAAAATGGGCAGTGCCTTTTCAAACACGCAGCCTTCTGTACCATGGAATGCCACCAGTAAATTGTCTTTGCATAAACAACCTAAAGACATGAGAAATTTGGGATGCTGCCAGTGGATTTAAGGAGTCTCTCACGTTCATGATGTACCAGGTTCAGTGTCACTCTTTTCTAATACCTGGACAACATCTGATTAACATTAACCTGCTGCTGTATTTCACCTATGAACACTCTTGGTTTATGACCAACCTCATTCTGCACCAAATCTTTCTAAGGTAGATTTTAATCCCATTACCTGTGGCTGGTGTTCCCTTGCCTCCAAATATGGGGCATCTTCCCCAAGCTCAGCACAAAAAATGAGTGCCAAGAAAGCTGTTAAAACTACTGCTTTTCTCTTTTTTTCAGCAGGAAAAGCTGGACAAAAACTTCTCCAAGAGAGAGACAGAGAAGGTGAAACGGGAGACCCACCTTCCACAGGTTTGTACAGAAACCTGTCCTTCATCCTCCAAACTGGACCGAATGAGATGAGGTTGTGCAGGTTTCCATAGCTGTTCCTGTCACTGGGCTGCAGAACTGGCTCCACACTTTCCAAGCAGTCCTGGGAAGGACATGGGAAAACTTCTGGAAGGGCGTTGGTGGCACCTGAACAGAACCTCCTGCCCCAGGGGTCCGCAGCAGGCACAGATCTCCTCAGACTCCACCTTTTCCAGCCCTGCTGCCATTCCAAAAGCTGAGTTGCCCAGCACATGTCAATCCCTATTCCCTGAATCCTTTTCCCTAGGGATTAGCAACCATTGCTGCCATGTCATGTCATTTAACTCCCCTCCCAGCCGTGAACAGAGGGGTTTCCCGGGTAGGGGTGACCTTGGTGTGGTGACTTTGGAAGCACCAGGTCCCTCCTCAGTCCTGCCAGAGCAGCCCCTCCCCACGTACCTGCTCACACCCCACTTTCCCGTGCAGGCACACGTTCAGCTCGCAGTGCAGATAGGCCACGGAGTGGTTCAGCATCTGGAACAGCTGGATGGTGAAGCTGGCAGCTCTGGACCTGCTGCTCTGCAGCAGCTGGATGTGTCTGCACTCAAATGGCAGCCTGGCAGGAGCAAATGGCAAACAGGTTCAACTTCCAGATGACTGAAGGCAGGGTCTGCACAAGGCAGAGTTCAACAAAACCCTCTAATGTCAGCATTGCAGGCTGTACCTGCCCTGCTGTGGAGGCCACAGCCCAAGGGCAGCAGAACTGTTCCTTGGAGGCTGATTTTGGTACAACCAGTGAAATGGCTGCTGGGGTGTGACAACCACTCCCTGACCCACTTCTGACTCACGTCTCACACCCCAGTGGTTTGGCAAACATCAGCTCATGTTCCCCTGTGCTCAGGTGAGGCCAGAACAGCTGTGAAATGCTGCTGGGGGAATGGGAGCCTGTGGAGAATCTGCCTGGCTGCCATCCCTGCACTGCTCTGCTCCCGGGATGTGCCACCCCAGGCAGGAAGGGCAGGGGATGCTGCCCCCTGACACCTGGGACAGCACCTGTGGGGAGCTGGGATGGCTTATCTACATTATAAATGGAAAATATTATGGATGTGGGCAATTGGGATGGCTCATTTACATAAACCAAAGGGAGATTTCTTTTCCCTGAGGGTTCTTTGCCTTATCAAGCCCTTGGTATTAATCACCAGGCTGAGGGAGCAGAGCACTCCCAGACTCGTTCCCACTGCTTGGAGCTTGCTCCAAGGAGCACAGCCTGCAACCACAGGACACAGGAGAGGGTTCCCTGAGGATCCCAGGGGAGGTGAAGCCCACCCCACCCCCGTGGGCTCGTGTCCCACCTGCGGAACAGGCAGCACTGGGCTCCTGGTGCCCCGGGGCTGGCGGAGGGGGTCACACAGCACGAGTGGATCTGCAGCAGGGGCTGCACCAGGGGCTGGCTCAGGTTGTCCTGCACGGCCACCAGGGCCAGGAAGGTCTCTGGGGAAGGTTCTGGAGGCCCCTGGGGCTCAGGGGCTGTGTCAGCAGCGGGGCTCAGGCTCAGCTGCACGGTGTAGTTGCCGGAGCCGCAGGCATCGTCGCTCACCACGGCCACGCTGCAGGGAAAGAGGGGGAAAAGGTGAGACCCAGCCAGGAAACATGGACTGCTGGGAATGGAACAGCCCCAGGGTCTGTCAGTGTGAGGCCATTCCACCTTGTCCTGTCGCTCCAGACCCTTGTAAATATTGACCCCATCCTTAAATCCCATGGCAGGAATGGCACAGAGGGAATGGATTACCCATCCAGGACGGTGAGCTCCGGCTGCAGCCCCCTCCTGTGCTGTGAGTCGCTCGGGGCACTGGGCTGGCCATCCAGCAGCGTCACAACAGTCACCAGGCCTTCAGCTGCTCCGTCTGTCACCTCTGTCCTGCCCATCTCCTCTGGCTCCGTGTTCAGCAGCAGCCTCTGGGATGAGTCAGTGCCTGCAACACCCAGCAGGGAATTCCCCTGGGCTGGAAGTGCCACCAGGCTCCCGGGGGGATACGAGGGGCTCTCTGGGCTTGGGAGGAGCTGGGCTGGGTCTCTGGCTAGAAGCACCTCAGCATCACTGCCAGCTGCTCTCTGGAAGGCAGTTGAATGATTATTCACAGTCCTGTCAGCAGAGACAGCAAACGCTGCTGTTGAAGGTGGCCCAGTGGCACTCACGGCGCTGCCAGGGCTGGAATGAGCAGGCTCCTGTTCCATGCTGTCCTCCAGGACATGCTTCTCCAGAGGGTGTCTGGGTGATGCAGACACGGGTGCCTGGGTGGGCAGGTGGCTGGTGGGGGCTGCTCCTGCCTTTGGTTCCTCCTGCCCCTTGCCCAGGGCTGCAGAGACCGGAGCTGGGGTGTTCACCCTGCCAGCCGTGGGCAGCACCACGCTGGGGTCAGCTTGGGAAGCTGCTGTTGGCAGGTGAGGCCCCGTCCTGCTCGTGAGTGGAGCAGTGGCACGGCCAGCCCTCTCTGCAGGGGGAGCAGTCACTGCTGCTGCAGCCCCTGGGGTGCTCTGTGTCCCCCGGGGCTGTCTCTGCAGGGTGATGGCAGATCCTGTTGGCCCCGAAGGCTGTGCTGCACTTGAGCCCAGCTCATCCCCCAGAGCTGCTGGGGGTGGGTGCTGTGTCTGTGTGCCCACTGTGGCCGACAGAGACACGCTCATCCCCGGGAATTCACCGCTTCCTGCTTTTCCTGCCCTTGTGCTGATTGCCGTGGGCTTCGGGAACGGCTCAGCAGGAGCTTGGAGGGCTCGGTCACGTTCCAGGGCTGCCAGCAGGGCCACGTGTGCAGGTGCAGGAGAAGGTGGGTGTGCAGCAGAGCTGGAATACCCCCGTGGGTGGGTCACTGCAGCCAGAGGTTTCCCAGGAAGCGTTGCCTTCGCTTGGATCTCTGCAGCAAAGGGAGTCTGCACCGGTGCTGCCTCTGTCCTTACCCAGGGCTTGGGCACCGTGGCAGTGAATTCCAGAGTGCTGGGGGGGATCAGGCTGTACAGATGTGCTGTGGGTTTGTGCTGCTGGAGCAGCTCCTGGAGGAGCTGTGCTGCCCAGGGCAGCCTCTCTGTGCTCATTCCCAGCTGGAAGCACTGGGGAAGCCGAGGACGTGCTGGGTGCCACTGCTGGCAGCATCAGCGTGGTCCTGGGGAGCCTCTGGGACGTGGCCTGCAGAGGTTTGGTGCTCGTGACCACCTCTGGTGGGTATTTTGTGGTTCCAGCTGAGCGTGAGGTCCCGTGGGGAGCAGGGGCAGAGCTCGGGGTGGTCGCTGAGCCCTGGCCAGGGGCAGCAGTTTGCAGTGTCCCACTGTGCTGAGCACCCCCTGCAGCCCCTGTGCTGGGCACAGGCTGGGCAGGCACTGGGAAATCAGGGAGTCCCTTTGCTGGCAGTAAAGGAGTTACAGAGTGTGGCTTTTCTGTGGTGAGAGACACCTTGGGGGAAGTGTGGGGGCTCTGCTGCGTGGGCAGCGCTGATGGTGCCCCAGGGGAGGTGCCAGGCTCTGCCAACATCCTGCTCAGGAGAAGGAAATCAGTGCCCTTGGCCTCCTGGGAATGGGGAGCAGGGATCTGCATCTCCTCTGGCATCCTGTGAAGGTGCAGGGCCTGCCCTGTGCTGCTCATCCCCGTCCCTGGGGCCAGCAAAGGACCTGGTGCTGAGGTGGCAGCTTGGACCAAGCCCGTGGTGGCTCTGGAGGTGGGAGTGGTTGGCTGAGGAGTTCCCTTTGCTCTCTCTGCTTGTTGGCTGGGCACAGTGGGCAGAGTAGTTCCAGGTTTACTGCTGGGATCAGAGGAAGCAGTTCTCACGTGGCTGCTCTCAGGGGTCCCCACGTTTGTGAGCAGGTGGGTGGTTCTGTGCTCGCCTTCCCCCCGAGCCAAGGCTGAGTCTGCTGTGCCAGTGGGCAGCAGGATGAACACAGGCCTGACCAGCACCAAGCTGGAAGGACTCAGATGGTGCAAGTCCCCAGGGTCCAGCACTGAGGAGTTTGATGCTGCCAGGATTTGCTGAACGGACACCAGGGCCCCAACACTGGTACTGGGGAGTGTCCTGGGCAGGGGGTGCTCCTGCATGGGCTGAAGGCAGATCATGCCATCAGTGCTCTTGAACAGGAAGGACAGGTTTGGGGCTGCTGTGATGGTGAGGGGGTCTCCTCTGGCAGTGCTGAGGTTCCTGCTGGCTGCATCAAGTGCCATCCTGAACTGCTGCAGCAGAGCCTGTGCCAGCTGTGCTGGGACCTCTCCAGGGACACTGGGCACCCCTGGACCGGGATGTGCTGGGGCTGAGCTGGACTGGCCTCCCCCTGCAGGGGCTGAGGGTGGTTCTGAAGCAGAAGCTGCCAGGCTGCCAACGTGGTGGGTCTGGGAGGCTGGAGGGGCAGTGCTGGGAGAGGGAGGTGTCTGGTTCCTGCTGTCTTGGGCTCCAGAGGGGCTGGGGAGTGGGTTGGATGCTGGAGAACCAGTTCCAGCTGTCTGCTGTGGGAGACCTTTCCTCCTCTTGTCTTCCACTGTGCTCAGCTGCAGAGTCCCAGCAAAGGCTTCCTGAGATCCAGGATGGGCAGGAACACCCTGAGCCCGAGCCCCAACCCCAGCAGCTGTGGAGGAAAGTGTTGTTGTTGTGGTGTGAAGTCTCTCAGCAGAGCTGGGGATGCCCATGGGCTGCAATCCAGCACGAGCAGGCAAAGATGCACCTGGTGGCTGAAGCCCTTCCTGAACAGAATCCCAGGGCTGAAGGTCTTCATTCCCAAAGGCAGACATTCCAGGAGGGGGTGCAGATGTTGCTTCTTTTTGCTCTTTAGTAGTCTGGGAAAGTTTTAGTGTGGAAATCCCTGATGGGCTGGATGAGGATGAAGTAGCAGAAGCCTGTGGGCTCTCAGGGGATGCAGATTTCCCAGGTTTGCTTGTCACCATCCCATGATCAGAATCTCCTTGCAGAGCTACAGCTGTGATTCCTTGAGAGCTCCTCTTGCTTTCCTGGGCAGCAGGTTTGGTGCAGTTGAGGGCCCTGTCCAAAGACTGTTGTCCTCCAGTCGTGCCAACGGGCCCTTGAAACGGAGATGGAATTAATCCAGCAGGAGCTGGGGATCCCATCAGTAATGAAGAGGAATGGAGGTGGCCTGGTGGGAGTGTGTGCAGAGCAGGCAGCTGGGTTGGGTGTCCAGAACCATTTGTTACAGCTGCTGTTGGAGTTCTGCCCTTTCTGCCTGTTGTTTCTTGATTCAGAGGCAGAACAGGGGAAACCTGAGTGGCCCTGGCATGTGTTGTTGTGGAATAGGCTGCATCCAGGCTCCCTGGAGCTGGCTGTGGTGGCACTGCAGAAGCTGTAACTCCAGCATCCATACCCTGAGTCCTCTTCAGGTGTGCAGGTGTCACAGGTGCTGTGCTGCCAGGCTGGGCCTGGGGGGGTCTGTGCATTCCTGGGGGTGACCAGCCCAGCCCTGCACTTCCAGGAGCAATCCCAGCTCTGCTGGGAAATGGAGGTGCTGCTGTTCCTTTTCCTGGAGGACGAAAATGGACTGTTGAAGTCAGGGCAGATGTTTTAAGCCTTGTCACCTCCATCTGCTTGAGAACAGAAAGGGAGGGGACAGCTGTGACCTGGGGAGAGTCCTGGTGTGTCCCTGCACTGGGAGAGGGAGAGCTGGGAGGGCTGAGAGCAGCCCCAGGAATATCTCCTGGTCTTCTTTGCAGGGAGCTGTGTGGCTGCTGCAGAGCTGTGGCAGCCTGGGACCCTCGTGTGGAGCCAGGGATGCTGCCAGGCCAGGCGTGTCCACCCTGGGCTGTTAGAGCTGCTGTTTGTGTGTGCAGGGGCTCAGACACCCCCAGGTCCCCAGCTGAGTCCCCAGGCAGCAGAGCTGTCCTGTTTGCAGCTCTCTCTGTGGCAGCAGGGCTGGAGGCAGCTGTGGTTTCCTTGGTGGGATCAGCTGCTGCACTCTGGAGGTGGGAGGTCACCCCATCCAGGTCCTCCTCTGTCACAGGGACCCCCTCGCTGGGCACTGGGCTGCTCTCAGCTCTGGGCTGGGCCCCTCCAGGGAAGGCCAGGCCCATCATGTCACTGGCACCACGATGGTTCCCGGAGGCTCCTGAGGAACAGAAAACAAGCCTCTTGTTGCACAAGAACCTTGCACAGTTCGCAGCCCTTTCCAACACTTACACCTGCCCAGACGCACAGGGAGGGTGGGCAGCTCCATCTCACCGAGCTGGGACAAACCTGCCCCTCTGCTGTCAATGCTCAGCATCCCCTGCAGGACCCAAAGCATCCACCAGCCAGGGGGGAACCCTCTGCCTTCACCCTGCCGGGATCTGAAGGGCAGCTGAAGGTGCAGGGGGCAGGAAAGCCTCAGGCTGACCAAGGACAGCAAAGCAGGGCTAAAATCCCTCAGCTGGCTCTCCCTCAGTCCTTCCCCAGCTGTCTAGGTATCATTTCCAAATAATCGATTAAAACATTATTGTACTTTTCCTCTCCAAAAACTTGGAATGTTTTTTCCCCCCTGGAGGCACCTGCTCTGATCTAAAAGCTGTAAAGTGATTATGCATTTGAGTGTTATGCATTTAAATTTTTGGGGGGGGGTTGACACAGGCAAAGCAGAGGTTTAGCAGATGAAACCCCTGGGGTTGGCAGCCAGGTGTGGTGCCTCAGGATTCCAAGGTCCCTGTGGACATTTGGAGAACCAGCAGGACTCTGAGGCAGCAGTGAGCAGGAAAAGCTGGTGTGAGGGAACTCAAAAAGCTGATTTATTGCTGAAAAAGGGATGGAAGTTAGCAGGTGATGGAGATAAAATACTTTAAACTGTGGGTTTTGCACAAAAAAGTGACACTCCCACGGTTTAGCCCCAACACAAGTGATCTGTCTGTAAAGACAGACACTTAACTGAATTGAGGTCTAAAGTGGTGTAAATAGCCACAAACGCACCGTGCAGGGGGACAAGGTGATTTAAAGAAACCCAACAAAACCCACAAAGAGAGTAAAATTGTTAATTAGGTGGAGAATCCTTATCAGGATTAAGATGATGAACTGTGGTGCCTGGAAAAGGGGACTCTGAACAAGGTTTCACCACTTTGATCCTCACTGCTGCCTGGAACTACTCTGGGAAAAGGGATTTTTGCTTTGCTTTCCCCACCCTGGAGAGAAAATATCTATTTTTGGGGAACTGGGCCTGTGTGTGAGCTCAGGTCAACAGCACAGGAGTGTCCTGAGTGGGGTCACAAACACCCCCCAGCTGAAAGCACCCAGCCCAACTCCTGAGCTGCACAAGCAGGGAAAGCTGCTCCTGCCCCTCAGAGCTGTCCCCCAGCACTGGGCATCCCTTCTGTGCCTGCTGGCAACGGAGGAGAAGAGGCAGAGAGGCAGCAACTGAGAGTAGAACAAAGCACATCACTCACCAGCCAAATCCAGCAGTCCAGCTGCAAGCAGGATAAAGATGGGGAGTTTTTCCTGCATCCTGGGAGGCAGCTCCTGAGTCATCCCAAGGAAATACATCCCTGCCAGGAAGCAGCTCCCCGAGGAGTCACTGCTGCCTCTCAGGACGGGGCACTTGCTGCTTGCTCTGCAAGGGCAGAGGATTGGGTTACTTTATAAGAGCTTAGGCCAGACAGCAACCAATAACCTGTTCCTGAAAAAAAAAACCACCCTGCACCAATTGGAATCAATTGATTTTTAACAAAAGAGGAGAGCGTGTTCACGTGTGTTTTCCACCCAGAGATGGACAAAGGGACTGTGAGCAGGAGAGGCTGCTGGTGCAAGGCAGCTCCAGCCCTGGGGAAGGAGGGGAAGGTGCTTGGGTGTACCCAGGGGGGACAACAGAGCTGGGGCAGGGCTGGAAGGCACCTCCTGGGAGGCTGAGGGCTCTGGGTTTGTCCAGCTCGGAGCAAAGGAGGCTGAGGGGTGACCCCCTGGCTCTCTGCAGCTTCCTGAGGAGGGGATGGGGACGTGGAGGGCATGGAAGGGGAGGTGCTGAGCTCTTCTCCCTGGGCTCTGGGTTCAGAGCTGCATCAGGGGAGGTTCACACTGGACAGGAGGAAGCACTCCTGCAGTGACCCCAGGAGATGCACACTGTCCCTGTGACCCTCCAGGCAGGGGGAGGCTCCAGAGAAGGAATCCAGCTGCTGGATCCCTTCTTCCCCAATCCTACAGGCATTGGCAAAGTGTGTTCTCCACTCAGGAGCCACAGAGAAAAGCCACCACACATCGAGGAGGTGACAGCACAGCAACAACCCCCAGCTGGCTCAGAGCAGCCTGACCTGACATTTGGGTGAGGGAGGAACGAGAATTTAAACTTCCATAACAGAATTTAAACTTCCATAAAAGACTTTTTAAACTTTTGTAACAGCCAAAGAAGAGACCAGAGGGCAAAGCCACACATACAACAACCCTTTTACCTTTAGCCATAAAGCCCCAGAGTCCTTGCAAACCTTCACCTGAAGGCACCAGCAGTGCACAGCAGATATCTCCCAGTGCCAGGCACCTGCACAAACACACACAGTGAGCCAAACTCCTGGAGAAGGGCTGGGGGGAAAGAGAGAACACCGTGGCTGTGGTGAGAGCAGTGAAAACACGAGCACGAGGCAGATAAGCAGCACAGTGAGAGACACTGGGCAGGAAACAACAACAACAAACCCTGATCCATCCCTCAGCAAGCTGCTCGAGTGCAGCCTGGAGGAGAACACAGCAGAGCTGGTGCTGACAGACACCACTGCCAGCCCAGCCGTGCCACTCACCTCCAGCTGGGAACCAGGGCAGGTCACCTCGGCTTTCTCCCCACTCTGGAACTCGTCTGGGAGACAAAATTACCCTGACTTCTTGTGTTTGCACTGCCTCTACCCCAGACCTGCCCCCAGCAACCTGTGCCCCCAGCCAGGGCACTGAGCACTGCCAGGGAGCCTTTGGTGTTGGTGCCTCTTTGCACTGAACCCACACACGGTATTTGTTACATGTTTGTCTAGGCAGGGTGCAGCTTAATGGTAGGATCCTTAAAAAAAGCCAGGGAGATTATTAAATTGAGATTATCAATTATATGCCTTTCACTGCGAGGGGGGGGAAAAACCAGGTGCAAGAGAACTTCCTTCTCCTCAAGTGGGAAGATGATTCAGCTGCTATTTTGAAAAGGAGATGATACATAATTTGTCAGCCACTGTTCTGAAGGGACGAGATTACCCCCAGAATAGACACCCACAGGTGTCATGGAGGGAAGCTGAAGAGCCATTTTAAAGTCAAACATGACTGGCCTGTGCTTATTCATATAAATGTAATATATTCTTTTGTTTCCTGTGTTTAAAAACCAGGCAAAAAAAAAAAAAAGTATTTATGGCCATTTATTGTGTCATTTATTAAAGCAAAGACAGCTTAATGCAAGCTGTTATTTTAGTTGGTAGCCTGGATAATAAATTCACTTCTTTCTCCTGATATTAATATTGTTTCACTGGCTTCCTTGTGGGACCACACATGCTTCACAAAGGGACTAAGAAGCTGATGTGCTTTGAGTTAGCTTTATTAAAGAAAAGAATAATTAACAATAAGTGGTATTAAGAACAGGTTTGGGAGGTCTCCTGAAGGGTTCAGCTGCTGTGCACGTGTTTCATGGAGGAGTTCAGGATGGCCAGGCCATTGAGCTTCCTCAGCTGAGGAATATGCCTGAAAAGACAACAGAAAGGTTTCTGGGGGAATGGATGGTGACTACAATGAAAGTTTTAAGGTTTCACTGCCCTTAGCACAAGAAATAGGGTTCTAGATTACTACTGCCCTCAGAAAGGAAAATAAATCATACCTGACCATTCTTCAGGTCGACGGCATTTCAGAGTAACACAACTAAGAAAATCAGGTGTTTCCCTTTCCTACCTGTGGTGTGCCACACCAGCCAGCCGGTGCAGAGCAGCAGGGGGGTGGCAGTACCTTGGCTCAGCAGCACAGAGCTTCCCCAGGGCGATGGCCGAGTTCTCCTGCACCGCCGTCCGGGCAGCGGCACCCCCGGCGTGTCCCAGCAGCAGCAGCACCACCCTGGAACCCAGCAGGGATGTCCCTGCTCCCGGCACACCGAGGCACTGGCCGAGGCACAGAGCAGCATTTCCCACCACCAGCTCGTCCTGTGACTCCAGGAGCCTCAGCAGCACGGCAAACCCTGCAGGAGGAGGGACAGGCGCACTCAGAGCTGCCTGAGGAGCGCTGGGGATCCCTCCTGTCCTCACCTGAGCTCCCAGGGGGGAGTTCTGTGGCACAAAGGAACGTGAAAAGCTTTCTGTGTATCCTCTACTGCCACAGGACAGCTCAGCTCAGCTCAGCCACCTCTGTGACCAGCAGAGTATTCCCTGTGCTCTTGACACAGATTGTACAGCTCCTGCTGATCTCTGCAAGCAGCAGCAGCATCTCAGGCCACAGAGTCTGGAAACGTTTAGAGAGACCACTGTCCACATAAAACAGGAAGTTCCCTTGGGTATTTACATAATTTTTGGGTTTGTTTGTTTGTTTTTGTTTGTGGTTTTTGTTTGTTTGGTTGGGGTTTTTCGTTTGTTTTGGTTTTGTTTTTTCCCATGGTCTCCCTTCCTGATCACATCCCACCCCTGCTGCTGCAGCACCATCTGAAAAGGCAGTGCTGCTCCCCACAGCAGCAGGGGCTGGGGCTGAATTGAGTGGCCCAGAAATGGAACTCGGTGTCATGGGACTAAAGCTCAATTCCAGTGTCTGGGCTGGCAAACAGAGCTGACAAAAAAAAAAAAGAAACAGTGACTTCTTGGAGGATTAACACCCAGAGCTTTGGTGGGAAGAATGAGAGTGAAGTGTTCTTGCTATTTGAGGAAATGAAAGCTTCGTCTGCAGATGACAGTGAAACTCATCTGGGCTGCACAAAGGGAAGATGATGCTCTGAGAGGCTTTTAATGAGTGGAAACCCTTGGGGTTCAAGTTGAACTACACACACTGACAGTTTCTTGACAGGTTCAACCATTTAGAGCAAATTTAAAGTATTCTCTGTTGTAGTTCCATTAGCATTAATTGAAGCTGGATTTTAAAGCAATCTAAGCAGTGTTATACCACATGACTAGAGCAAATATACTCCAAACTACCCTGACACCTGGCCTGGTATCATCACTCTGTCTCTGGATCCATCTTGTTGTAATAGCAGTCAAAAAACCACATGAAAGACACTCCCAAATAGCCTCAACCTCTGGAAATCAGGAGTTTCTTATTTTAGCCACGAACCTGATGAAACACACCCCAATTCTTTCACAGCTTACCAGCACTTTTTTTTCAAAATACATGCCCTGCCATGTCACCAGGGCAAGGTGCAGGTTCCCTTGCTTCCAGTCTCTTAATTCCTGGAGTTGGCACTTACTTTTATCTGCCTTCACCAGCTCCTCCTGAGCCTGCCTGCTGCTCCTGGTGCAGATGCACAGGGTCTTTATGCCGTAACGGGCCGTGAGCTGCCCCCCAGCCTGGGTGGATTAAAGCACAGGAACAAACCACAGTTTGGTTTTCAAACACAGTTCACACCCACCTTGCTCCAAGTGACAGGGTGGAGACACTCAGGCTTTCCTTATGCCTAAGCCCAAAGTGTCTCTGCACCACAGAAAGTGTGCAAAACCCACCCGAGGCACAGCCTGCCAGAGACACGAGCAGAAATGAGGAGAGCTGGACTTACTTTCAGGAATTTGATCATTTTCTTCACCACCCCTCCTCTCACTGCTTCCTCCACCGCCGAGGAGGATGCTGGCAGGGCACGGCTCAGCACCCCAATGGCCCTCTGAGTCAGGCAAAAAAAGGGAGAGGAGCAAAAGGAAACGTTTATTTGTCCAGGAAAACTTCAAGTTATTTCCTCTGGCAGGAAAAAAAAGCAACCAAAGTAATTAAAGGGCTAAAAGGAGAAGTTTTACAGAAATCCAGAGGATCCCAGACTTACAGAACCTAACAAAGGATATCTTGAGGATGAGGCTCTTTTATTGCTTAGTGAAAACTGAACACAGTGGAGCTTCTAAACTCAGTGTAGGGGAGAGGTGAGACCAAACTGAGACCACTACAGCTCCCTGCATGCTTATTCATTAAATAATACTATTATTAGGCACCTTCTGGGCCCCAAAGCCTCGTGTACAGACTTGTACAGGGCAGAGGTTTGCTCAGATGTGTGGGGTCAGGCCAAGGCCACGTTCTGCTGTTGACTTACTGTGACAATCCTGCCGTCCTGGTGGCTGAGCAGAGCCAGGCACCTGCCACTGATGGCCACAGCCAAGTCCTGGAACAACAAGGGGGAAAAACTCACGTGCTGGGAAGGGTTAGAGCAGAAACGGGGTCACAGGCAAAGCTCTCCACAACAAATGATCTGGTGGGGGTCAGGGAACACCCTCAGTAAGTTACTGAACGTGTGACATTCTTCCTTCTTGATGGAATCCTGAGCTTTGAATGATTTTGGAGTGAGCCCAGTGTCTCAGAACATCACCCAGCTGGAGGGTGATGGCAAACAAAACATTTGTACCACTGTGGGAAGATCCTACATGTGCTTCACACTGTTTGTTTTTTTCTCTTTACTGTTTGTTTATATAAAAAGTGATGGCGGAGAAAACATTGTCAATTTTTTCCACCTTTCAGCCTACTTAAATTGTCAACTACCCTTAAAAATAACTTTAAATACTTTTTTTTTTTTTAATTCACAGATCTTGCATACCTGGATGGTCCCATTGGATTCAAGCAGCAAGTTCATCATCAGGCCCAGCACTGCAAACACACACTCCTGGTAGCTGGGTGTGCTGCCATCAAGGCTTTCCTCCTGTGTGCCAAGGAAAGGAGGAGAGCAGTCAGTTCAGACATTCCCAGACTTCTGTGGAAGCACCAGTGTCCCCTGATGCTCCAGAGGTCAGAGGGAAGGTGAAGCCCCGTGAGAAGTAGAGCAATGATGTGGTTTTGATACGATTTGTTCAGGGGGTTGTTTCACCCTGGTACCTAAAGCTGCACACTCCAAACCTCTGATGGTCAGGCACTTAACAAGATCCTTTCCCACCCTCTGGATTCTTCAGTTTCTGAGGGCTGAGTTCATCCTGAAAGGGGCCACTCACTGCCCTCCACCCATCCAGGGATCCTCAACTCCTGAGACCCACGAGCTGCTCCGAGACCTCTGGACCTGAGAGATCCCGGTCAGGGGGTCAAAGCTCAGGGGGGGAGGCAAACAAACAGACATTTCCACAGCAGGCAGGGCTGCAAACACCCTCCAGGTCCCTTTACCAGCAGCTTCAGGCAGCCCTGCCAGCAGTCCCTGCTCTCAGCCAGCTGGGCTCGGATCCCTGGGTCTGCACACAGGCTGCCCATGATGCCGATGGCACAGGACAGGGCTGCCAGGTTCACCTGCCTGCCAGAGACCTGGGGACACAGGGGGGGAAGGAAAAATTCAGCACAAGCGACAAGGAAACCACAACAATGTGCTCCTACCCCTCTGGCAGTGGGAAACACGATTCCAGGATCTCCTAAATCCCAGCTGTCCCGAGTTCCCAAAGCACCCTCGCTGTGACAATGAATCCCCTGGTGATGCTTCAGGAGTCCTGGGCAAAAAGTGATGACAGCACTCTGTGTTCCCAAACCTCACCCTGAGAACCTTTCCTACAGCCAGGGCCCAGGGCAGAACAGCTGCAATTCCAGTCAGGAACGTTCAAAAAGAAAGAGCAGCAGATCAATGGGAAGGTCACATAATTATTGCCTTGGTGCACATTCCCACTGGGAATCTGTCAGGCCAGGATTCCACCTTCAGCTTTGTGTTATGCTCTTCTTTATGTGACTTTAATCCACTGTCACCAACTGGTGATGTCTTGGATAGGGACTTTATCTTGGATAGTCCAGTAGTTTCACTGGATGTTGAACTAGGGATGTGTAGGACAAAGTCCTGGACAATAGGAACAGTTTCCTGAGGAAAGTGTATCACAAACCTGCATTGTTTTATACCTACAGAAACACAGACCCAGTAGCTGCTGTAGTTCTACCCCAGGAGCAACATGGACATGTTAGTTCCACCAAAGTAAACCAGAAATACAGAAACCTTTCATACCAGCAGCTGGGTGAATAAAGGTAAAGCCCCTGTGGAAAGCAGGACCCGACACTGGGCTTTGAACCTGTTGGGGAAAAAGAAACTCTTAAACCCTCAGACAAAAATCACAGACAGAGGCAACAAAAGAGCAGCAGGAAGACAACAAACATCAGTCAGCAGTGTAACCCCACAGCCTCTGGCTCAAAGTGCAACTTTATAAAACAGAAGGTGAAATTTAAATTACCTCTCCTCTGCAATTAAATCACACAGTATGTTCATGGCACTGCCAGCCCTGGCATCACTGCACTTGACAAATGCCATCAGAATCTGCAGCCATCTGTTATTAAACAACAACAACAACAAAGGAAAAAACCCACAAGAAAATTGGTGTCAGCTTTGGTTTAATTATTAAAAGATCAAGATCCTCTTTTTTTCAGGCTCCTGGTATGCCAGGCCACAGTTATATCTGCCTTTTTTAAGCATCCTCTCAGATGTGGCTCATTTCTGTAACCTTTCCTCCCAGGGAACAATGTCCCTGGATTAGTGCTGTACAGAACACACTGAAGTGTGTGCAATTGTTAAGGAACCCTTTGTGTTCATCCATTATTACTTCAAACCATGCAGTGCAAAGCAGTGAACTGGAATTCCTCCCCTGGTTAACTCTGGAAGGAAATGGCAGGAGAACAGGATAAAGGGAATGGAATGGTGGTTCTTTCTCCACTCAGCGAGCCATGGCAACATTAAATAACCACAAATAGCAATGATTAAATGAGGAGAGACCCTCAGCTGGAAACAGGAGCCACCAGAGACAACAGTGGGAGCTCTGGGCAAACACCCCCCTGTTTGAGAAGGTACCTGTGGCTCCAAATCACACCCTCAGCAGTGAGCCCTCTCCACTTATTTCCACAGGCACTTTTGGATACAAAATTCCCTGAAGTTTTACCTCACACATTTGACTTGTAATTTTGCCTGGCCAGGCCTGTCCCAGGAGGGCAGTGTGTCCTTTGGAAAGCCTCTCCCTGGGTGCTGGTGCAGTGCCAGTGCCAGCCAGGCACTGAGGACACTGTCCTGAGCCACGCTGGTGTTTGTTACCTGCCCAGGTCCTGGTGCTTGACCAGCAGTTTCCTCCCACTCTCACTCTCTGAGTAAAGAGAAATCAGTGCCAGGGTCTCCCTCTGGATCTCCTGTACCCCACAGGAAAGTAGCTCTGGCAGCTGGGCACTCACAGCAGGCTGAGCCAGCAGGAGACGCTGATTTTCTTCTGGAAAATAAAGAGAGTGCCTGGGAGCAACTTCCCACATGGCATCCTCACTGCTCTGATTATCTCTTGGTTTTTCTGCCCAGCCCCAGCAATGCCACATTAACTGCCCATGGCCCAAGATCCATGGGCACCCCTTGGCTTTACCATTGGCAGCACACACAGCCTGCCAGAGCACCAGGACAGACACACACAGCTCCACTGCAGCTGGGCTCCTCCTCGCTGCACACAGGCACCTGGAGGAGAGAAGGCAGCTTGCAAGAAGAGCAGAGGACAGACCAAGCCATTGGCTCTTTGGGGGGAAAAAACAATAATCAGCAAAGCCCCCCAGGGATGATGCTTGAACTCATCAGCTCTAAACCCACCCCTGGTTCAGCGCTTTTAGGACTATGAGGTTTGTTCTGCAGAGGGAACAGGTTTATAACTGTGCCCTCAGCACACCCAGACCCTGCCTGAGCAGCACACAGCACAATGAGGGGCATAAACTCAGCTCTGCACTGACAGAACTGTGGATGTCCAGGGCAGAAAATCTCTGAAGTGCTTCAACCTCTCAAGTCTGTTCACAGCCAACACCCCAAATACTGATGAACCCCAAAGAAGGCCCTGTGCTGCTCCTCTTCCCTCATCACAGAGACTTTCACAGGCTGCATAAGCCCAAATATTTACTGGTGGCAAATCCACAGCACCAGGGAGTCCAGCCAGGGATATTTAAAGTAACTGAGTGTTTTCAGATGTTCTTTTATATAAAGTCTTTTTCACAACCCTGCTCTCACCACGAGAGATAGGATAACTGTCCAGAAAGAGGAGACAGAAGCAGAAATGGATTATTTCTGCCCCCTGCATCCAAGAGAGCACTGTCTGTGTGGCAGTCAGACATAAGTCACCCCTTTCAGACATTACAATCTGTTATTACATTCTCCTTTGGCCATTCCATCTGCATTTCAGGAGGTGATTGTGTTTCTTGGGAGCAGTATTTTCATTTCCTCCTGCTGGAACCCCCCTCTGTTCCCCTCTGCAGAGCTCTCACCCTCGAACAGCCCCGTTGTCTCCGAGGATACTGAAGCCATTGTTTGTTCTAAATAACGTTTGCTCAGTGCCTGAAAAATCCAGAGATAAACAGATCAGCTCTGTGACTCCACCTGCCTGGTGGAGGCTCCTGCCCCTCCTGTGACACAGTGCTAAAAGAAAAGGTCACTGGATCAACAGCTCTGGGGGAAGAACATCATTGAAACACAGGGAAAACTCCCAGAATGAACGAATTAGGAGCAGCTTCGAAGGTAAAGGCCCCTCCTAATTCATGCCTGGAGCTGTAAAGAACAATTGACTCCAAGTTAAAGACTCTCCAGGAAGGCTGGACCACGAAACTGGCTCTGCAAATCAATATGTGTAAACAGAGACTTACAAATGTTTCCAAACAAAGGAAACAGCCCCTCAGGGACCCCAATCCCTTCAGAAGTCTCAAGAGACCCCAATCCCTCAGACGTCTCAACAGCTCAGCTACAACATCTAGTCCTAAAAAATTGATGTAAATACTCACTGGCCATCCTGAAACACCAAACATGGCCAATTTTATGGTTTAAATTTGGGAACACCTGCCCTGTTCCCGTAAAAACTGCTCCCTTGTCCTGGTCTGCCTGGATCACAACCCCCAGGAGCAACAACCTTTGCACCAAACACTCACAGTCCTTCACAGCTGCTGCCAAAAGCCTGATGCCCCCTGTGTAGAACAGGATATCCTGGCCAGGGGTGCCAAGTCTCTGCAGCAGCTCTTGGATGGTCAGGGCAGCAACAGTTCCAGCCTGAACCTCCTTCTGTGCTCTCTCCTCATCCTTCATCTTCTTCTCCTCCAGGTTCACCTCGGCCACGCAGGCTTGGGAGGCCAAAAGGAAACGAGGCAGGGCAGGTGAATGGTTTGTTGTGGGCAAGTTTTGGGTGAAAAATGAAGTTCAGCCCCCGGCTCTGCCTCCTGCTGACGCCTGCACAGGTGACCCTGAGCTCTGGGGAGGGGGTCACAGCCCAGAGAAGCCCCCAGAGCAAAGGGCTGTCCCAGAGGCAGAGGAGCCATCAGCAAACAAGGGGGCCCAGCATGAAAAGGTCTGTCCCTACCTTTGAACAGCCCTTCCTGCCGGGGATCAACCTGCAGCATCTTCTCATAGCACTGCCTGGACTGAGCAGAGAGAAGAAACAGGCCCTCAGTTCAGGATAAAAAGGGCAACACGACAACTTAGTCAGAGGCCTCCTGTTTAACTCAAAATTTTTTGGGCCACAGCACTTAAATGTGAACAATAAGGTTTATGAAGACACACAAGTACAAACTTTTCTCTGCTATTCCCAGCCCCTACAGCCAGCAGCTATTTCAAATCAAAAGGGTTTGCAGTAAAACCCAGGAAGGTACAAGTGGGAACAGAAAACCAGCATTCCATGAGAAACCAGAAAAGGAGGCACAGCATTAAACTTTCTCCCTCTCACCCACAGCATCCCATCAAAACCAGAACAGACATGGCCACAGGATTCAGTCCACTCACCTCAGGGTAGTGTTTAAGTGCCAGGTGAGCCTTCCCCATCAGAAAATAGGCTTTAATGCATTTTTCATTGCACTGTGTTAAAAAAAGAAATTCTGTGGTTAGAAATTTTTAGCCTTCTAGTATTTTTTCCAGCCTTCTGATTAACAGTTGTAACTGCAGGCAAAGAAGAGGGCATTCACAGCACTTACTAGAGGAGTCTAAAGTTTCTGTGCTGAATTATCACCTCCAGGGACCAACTTTGCTTCCCTGGGCAAGGAGCACAGGCTTTGGTTGAAGGTGGAAAGCAGGACCTTTTCCAGTTCAGTTGTGTGTCAAAAATATGGATTTATTTAAATGATGCTGCCAGTATTATTTATATAATACTTCTGTTATTATATTATTATACTATGTACTATAATAAATATTTTTTATTATTATTATTATTTAGGTATTTCCCAACCTTAACAATTCTAATGGTGTTCTAGGCATGGGCATCACTGCTGGAACACAACTGAATCTGGATTCAGCTCCTTGGCATTTTGTGTATATATTTTATACCTTTACATTTTCTTTTTGTGAGCTTCAAGGGTCCATTTTTAAAAGGCTGGGCAGAATATTGTGTGCCAATGTGTGCAGTTAAGAGCTCATTATCACCCCAAATTTTTTAATTAAATGCTTTTAAGAGCCAGGAAAGCTTCTGCACACAGGGAGCACTGAAATAGGAACTGTTTTATGGTGCTCAGATTAACTCAGGATGCAGCAAACTGTGCACATTCCCTCATTTCCATCAGCCAGTTGTCTCCATATCCTCAGTTCCACACAAACCCAATCCTGAAATTACCTTTAATGCCCATTCACAGTCACCAATGGCTTTTTCATACTCCTGGATCTTCAGGTAGGCCTGAGATAAACCCAAAAAAAAGCCCAGGCAGGAGAATTAGAGCCCTTCAACCAACTTCTGATGACTGTTGTACAAAACACCAGCTAATTAAAAAGAATAAAACCAGGATGCTGATTTGCCTGGCCATTGATTTTGCAGGATAATTACCAGCTGGTTCTTGACTTGTCCTCCATCTCCTCGGGGTTTGTAATTTAGAATAAATTTAATAAAATTCAACGCACACATACGGATTTTACAAGGGAAAGAGAGAATGCAAAGCAAATGTTACATTCTACAGCTGTCTAAGTGATCCCTAAAAAGAACTCATAGAAGAAATCAGTGTATTTTAAATAAAACTATCAATTAGAACGATTTTTCCCCACTTATCCCGGAGGAGCCACATCCAAGGGAGAGGAGAGCACTGCCCCCGGGAAGGAACAACCACACCTGGCTTGCAGAGTGCCCTGCCCTGGCACAGAACCCCCAGCTCAGGCAGAGCAGCTGCCCCCTGACCTGTGCCCTGTTGGTGTAGAGCTCCTGCTTGTCCCGCAGCTGCTGCAGCCCCTCCGAGTACCTGCGGATGGCCCCGGCCACGTCTCCCCTCCTGAAGGCCTCGTTCCCCTCCTGCCTGAGAGCTGCACGAGGACACAGCCCTGAGGGACAGCTCTGAGCCCCCCCAGGCTGCCTGAGCAGGCAGAGACACCCAGACCCGCTCCCTCCATCCCAAACCACGGAACAAAGGGGGTGACACAGCGAGGAGCAGCTCTGTGAGCCCCCAACCCAAAGAGCAGCTCTGTGAGCCCCCCAACCCAAAGAGCAGCCCTGTGAGCCCCCAGCCCGGTACAGACCCCTCACCAAGCCATTTCTGAGGGCATCACCCAAAAACCCTTCCAGCAATTACCATTGGCCAGCTGCTCCTTTCTCTTCCTCTGCTGAGCTCGTTCTTTTGCGTCCTTCTCCAGCATTGCCAGGAAAGCATCTTGGAGCCAGGGGAGTTGGTGGCGTTTTAGTCAAGGAAAAAAAAAATAAAGAGAAAACTCATTAAAATAAATTAAAAAAACACAATTTCTGGGGTATTTCTGAGTCATTTCTTAATAGAAACGATGCTGTGGGGACATTTCAGCAGTTAAAGTGGAATGTGAATGACAAGCTATCACAGATAATGATGATGCCACCATCATCAGGATTGGCACATCTGCCTTGCTGTAGCTCATCTCTGGAGATGAACATGTTTGCTTTTAAATTCAGAATACAAAGGTTTTAGATGAGAGGCCAGGACACAGTAACTCCACCAGCAAGGCTCCTACCTCTGAGAAACACAGACATGCTGGTCAAGCCCTTGAGTATGTTCCTAGATCTGACTGGATTTTGATTAAAATTTTATGACCAGTTTTATTTTATTGGTTTTATTAAATTTTATGTGTTTTGTTGGTTTTATTATTAATAATTTAAAAATTGAAATTAAACTTTTTTTACTTATAGCTCTGATTTTTCTCTGAAGAAGCCAGCTTTGACTGTGGCAGGAGTAGAATCAGGTTTTGCATTAAATAACAGCAGCTCTGCTAAAACTGGTTGAAGGGATGTCCCACAGCAGAGTGAGCACTGTCCTACCTGCATTTGCTGCCTCTGCTGGGCCCTAAAAAAAGAGAAACACAGCACAGGGTTTTTAACAATCTTTGACATTGCTGGAAAGCTTCTATTTGTGGCTTTAAACGAGGTAAGTCACCACAATCCAAACCCCACTGCAGGAATCAAAACCTAATTAACAGAGGGACTCGTGTGTCTTCAACTAGAGTCTCCAGCCCAGAGTTGTAAATATTGCTTATAATTTTTTCTCCTGAGCAAGGGATATGAATTTAAAAGAGTGAAACCAGCTTTGATTTCAGAGGCAAACCCTTACAGAGGCTCTGGTGTTGATGACTGTCCTGTTCACCGTGGTCCTGGTTTCCTCCTCTTTGCTGGTTCCTTCCTCCTGGAGCCTTTTCTCTGCCTCAGCAAGGGCTTTCTCCTTGACAGCTGAGTCTGGGGACTTCAGGCCTTGCAGCAAATTGCCTAAAAGGAAGATGGGAAAAGGAAGGATTTTATATACACACAGGACTCCAAGCGATCCTGGAGGGACCAGGAGCTCAGAGGGCACCTGCTCTGGAAGTGACCAGGATGGCCCTTATTACAGAATCACAGAATTACAGAATTACAGACTGGTTTGGGTTGGAAAGGACCTCAAAGCTCACTTAATTCCACCCCCTGCCACGGGCAGAGACACCTGCCATGGACCAAGGCTGCTCCGAGCCCCGTCCAGCCCGGCCTGGGGCAGTTTAGTAACACAAACATTCACAAACTCAGTGTCAGGTCAGTTTCAGGAGCCCCCAGAGTGTCTGCGTTATCAAAACAAACAAATAAATACATTTATTTATAAATAAATTAATGGATGTATATAAAACAAAGCAGCTCTCAGCATCCCCGAAGCACCGCCACACCTGGGCCCGTGGGGAGACACCCGAATCCACGGGGACACGCCTGAGCTCACAGGGACACCGAGTAGAATCCAATTCCCCCCTTTTCCACTCATTTTCCGCCTCCCTTCCCCCCCCCAAGTTCCCCAGGTTGTTGTTCCTTTCCCCGCCCGGGGGGGCCGGGGATGCGCGGCCCACGCAGGACACTCACTGACATCGTCCACGCGGCGCAGGAAGCGCTGGAAATCCGCCTCGGTGTCCTCGTCGCGGAGCATGGCCGGGGGCACAGAGAGGGGACAGAGAGGAGCACAGAGAGGGGACAGGGGGGACACAGAGGGGACCCGGGGGGGACGCGAAGGGACCCGGCGGGGCCGGGACTCGAACCAGTGGCGCCGTTGCCCGGGAGACGCGCCCGGTGACGCCGCACGCGCGGGTGGGGCGCGACTGGGAGGGGCTATGCAAACGAGAGGGCGGAGCTATGCAAATGAGTGTCCGCTGTTTCGCGGGAAACGGGCGGATCCCGCCCGGGATCGTGGAATTACGGGATCATTTCGGTTGGAAAAGCTCTCCCAGATCACCCAGTCCAACCCGTGACCGATCCCCACCTTGTCCTCGAGTGCCGCGCGCGGTCGTTCCTTGGACGCCTCCAGGGATGGGGACTCCAAACCTCCCTGCGCAGCCCCTTCCAGTGACCGCCCTCTTTCCACGAGGGAATTTTTCATTACTGTTCATAATCACCTCGTCAGGAGCCGCTGCAGGGCCGTGTTTCCAAAGGCAGAGCGCTGCAGGTGGTAGCTATAGAAGCTGTCGGCCACCAAAGGGAGCCAGAGCATCGCCGAGCTCCTGCTGCACCGCCGGGATGTTCCCATTCCAGGCACATCCTCGCCCGGCCGTCTGGGAGACAACGGCACAGACAATGCGAGATGACCTGGCAGCGGCAGCAGCGCCCGAGGACGGGTCACTGTGGGGTCTGATGGGTGTGAAATTAGAAAATCTCACTATAAATTTACACCCCGCAGCTCTACTCGCCTGCCTCTGCTTCCACGTCCCACCACAGCTCCCGGGAGGAGGAATCCTGTGTGCCAGGAAGATGCCGAGCTCCCTGACTCCACAGGCAGCAGATCTCCTGCCCCATCCACCCCCTCTGCAGCCAGAATATCCCCTAAACCCCTTTCCCCCTCCCTCATGCACCAAACCCAAACATCTCCCTTCTCCCGCTGCAGCCAGCTCTGCCCACGCAATTCACCATCCCAAAGGTGGGGATTTTTAGCTCTAATGAAGCTGTTTCCAGCCCTGTGTCCATGGGGTCCAATTAGAAACACCCAGGAGGTGATGGCTCTGGCACTGGGATGCTCAGAAAGATGGGGTTTTATTGGTTATCCCAGAAAATCTGGGGAACAAAGCCCCGCTGTGCTGGCACAGCAAACCTGCACAGGTGAGACCCACCTTGACTGAAAGGTGTCCAGGTCTCCATTTCCATACAAAACCACTTAAAATGATGCCCTGAAGCACATGCACAGGATTCACAATTCCTATCTGATTACAAACCAACTAATTATAATGTCTGGAAAGAACAAGAGAAAGAAGGTGTTTGTAGCACGAACATCTCCATCCACCCACCTAACCCATCCCAGCCCTGCTCTTATTACCCCAAATTACTAATTACTTACCCTAAATTCAGTCCAGACTGGGGGTTAAAGTTGCCACACTCAGCCAGGGTGACTTTGCCAGTCGGGTGCCACGGCCTTAACAGGGGGAGAGAGGAGTTAGGAATTAAAATGGGAATTAAAAGGCAGGTCTGGAGATTGAAAAATGGCTGAAGGAATACAGAGATCTCGTAAAGAATCTGTCAGCTGTTGGTCACTGAGCACAACCACAACTCCAGGGGAAGGAAAACCCGCTTTTCACAGGAGAACATGTGCTCTGCAGCGACAGTAAATGAGGCTCCAGGCCCCTCAGTTATCTCTGGGAGAAGAGGGGAAAATACCTGAGCTCCTGAAGGTTAAGATGGTGCAGCAGGAAAGGAGGCAAAGCCAGGGAGCAGATTCCAGGAACCCCGGCACGGGGTGCAGAGCTGACACCGGGGGCTTCCAGGGGAGCAGCTGCTAAACCAGGAATACAAAAGGCAACCTCAGAGCCCTCCCTTCAGACACCACCAGGGACTGGGGCCACTTCGTGTTTCCCCCACTGGAAAGGAATCGGTGTTTTTTATATCAAATGGGTAGCGAGGGAAAATAAATAAATAAATAAATAAGGTCTTTTTCAGCCAAATGGAAACTTCTGTGTGAAAACAAACTCCCAATTTGTGAAAATATTCTTAAGGAAAATTAAGAGATACCCCACCCCTTGCAGTCCCCAGAGAAGAAAAATTAAACTTGGGCATTTTGGCGGTTTCTGGTTAAAGTTTAGGAAAAAAGATAAACACCCTTAATTGAATTAATTTATTAAATAAATTCAGTAGATCCAACCCTCATTAATCAAGCTCAGGTATCCAATTCAGGATGGGTTAAGGAGAATTTCTGAAGCCCAAACTCACACCTTCCATAGCCACACAACACAGAAGTGCCTTTTCTTGTGGGGTTGGGGAGAGGGAGGGAAAGCTGTCCCTGTTTCACAGGGGCCATGGAACTGTGTCTGTGTGTTTGCTACCTGAAGGAAATGAAGAAATAAATACCGTGGGGCAAAGACACGATGTTGAAAACGCTGTTTGTGGCACTCAGGAGCTGGCACAGCAAAGAAGGGCAGACTGTAGGCAGCAGCTTTTTTTTTTTTTTTTTTTTTTGTAATTTTTATTTGAACACAGTATTCTGACAGAATGCAAAGTCAAAATCCTCAGTTAGTATCAGTATTTACACCAGTGAGAATGGGGATAAAGGTGGACTCGATGTTTCACTCGGTAAAAAGATTTTTTGTTTTTTTCTTTTTTTAACAAGATAGAAGGCCCCCAAAAGTAGGGAATGCTGGGGAAGGATGGCAGTGGAGGGGCTGAGAACAACTATCAAAAACAGCCTAAGTGTGAAAAATGTGGGGTTTGAAGGCTCCATAGAAAAGTGTGAAAATAAAAGTCCACTCTGAAAGCTGAAGGACGGGATGCACTGTCGTCACCTTCACGCATGGGCAGCACAATGGCAGCACTCCTGGGGACGCCACGGGCACCACGGGTGGGGATGGACACACACACAGCGCCCAGGGCCGGGCTGGGACCTCCTCAGAGCTGTAAAAGCCAGAGCAGTGAAGCCTGGGCTACCCTGGCAGTGGGCAACCAGTGAGCAGGGAGGAGCTCCCAGGGCTCCCTCCATCCGTGGGATGGTTTGGGTTGGAAGGGACCCCAAAGCTCCCCCCGTTCCATCCCCACACCCAGAGCAGGTGTGGCTGCTGGAGCGGGCTCGGAGCCGGTCACCTCTCCCAACACAAAGGCCAATCCAGCTGGGAATTCCCCCCGGCTTTCCCCCGACAGGTGCTGATGGTTGGCACTGGGCATTAAGGTTGTCTCCTGCCAGCTCAGCTTTCAGGGGTTAGAACTGGGGAGCTACGACACAACAGATGACAAAACCGGCCAAAACTTCGCAGGGATCAGACGGGCTGAGCTCACCCTCTGCCGCCCCAGAGCAGACACAACCACGGGAGCTTCTCGTGCCGCGTTTCACGCGCGGATCTCTCGGGAAAACAAAGCAACCCTAAGGACTGCGAGCCAAACTTCCCCCCCAGTTCCACCGACACTGCTGGGATGGGTCATGCAAGGGTGGGATCTGACACAGGGCTGCGGGGCGAGGCCCCATCCTGCCCCCACATCCCACCGGGATGGCTCCTGCATGAGTGTCTAGGCCTGCACCTCCAGCCATCCCCCACGGGCACCCCCAGGAGCTGAGGAAAGAATGCAAAAAACCCCACACTTAGCAAATGACAAGACCATTATTTCCCACAGTTGGAAGTGATGTGATGCTGCTGGAACAGACTGCACTCCTTCCAAGGACACACGCATGGAAGTGGCTCCACTGACCTGAGCCAACCGTGGCCTCCAAACCCCCCTCATCCTCCTGCTCCTCACCACAGAACCACACTCAGCTCGGGTTGGTTTTCTCATTTAAAGGCTTCTGTTCTTTGTAAGAGTTGTTCTCTCTTCATTTGTTTGTTTAATTCCTGAATATTCTTTTTTTTCTCTTCAAATCTGAACTAGCGCTACACCTTCCACATCCAAACTATGTTGAAGCTTTTATTATTTCAATACTATGACAAAAAACACGGTTCACACTAAAATAGTCACGCACCCACAGTGCACAAGCTTGCAGATCTAAAGTAGAATAAAAAAAGAAAACAAAGGAAACAAAAAAAAAAAAAAAAAAGGGGGAAAAAAAAAAACCAAAACCCCAACAGAAGGAACATCTCTATACAATGGGCTGGTCTCTCCCTACACGCCTCTGCCTCCCTTCTGCTCAAAGCTCCTCTGCACCCCCAAATCTCAGCGTTACTCCATGATTCCTGACGAGAAATGCCACTATCAGCTGCCCCCTCCATGATTTGAACACCCCCTTTCCCAGCTCCCAAGACAGGGCCCCACTGGCAGCCCTGGCACTGATTTTGCAAGCACTTGCTCCTGATTTGGTGTTTTTGGTTCTGCAGAGCACAGACTCAGCACACACAGGGGGATGGGACGGGACGGGACAGGAAGGGTCAGTTGGGAGGGACCTACAGGGATCAGCTGGTCCAGCCCCACCAGCAGCTGGGGGGGTCTGGCACCTGCCCAGCACCTTTGGGCAAAGAGCCTTTGCTTTTCCATGTGCTCTCCAGGGCCAGGGGACGTGGGATTGACTGACACTGGGATTTACTGACGCCCTAATAAGGAGGAACTGATGTAGTCAAACATCTGAGCCCAGACCAGCCCAAACTGTACAATCTCCCTTCTGCTCCTGGGAGCTCCGGGAGGGTTCCACCGAGGAAAGGGGAGAATGTCCTAAAAAAGCAGAGATGATATTTCTCTTATGCAGTCAGGCCCAGGTCCAGCAAGGGACTTCAACTAAATTGAAGAATAGAAGGCCTTTCTCCAGCAATTCCCTCATTCCAAGGAGAGCCTGTGTTTACGTGGATTGCTGGATAAAGACCTTGATTGGTGACAAGTGGTTTGAAATAACCCCCACCCCACCCCCCCAAAAAAATCCCAAACCAAACCCCAGCATCACTTTTCTTCTTACTCCAGTAAGAAATAATAATAATAATAATAACAATAATAATAATAATAACAATAATTAAGAAAAGATAAAGGGGAAACAACTACTGTAAACATCCATGTTTGAAAATGTCTCCCTTTGCAAAGCAAGCATGCTGCTACCCTAGAGTCTAGAGACTGGATTGACTTCCAAACAAAAACAAAAAAAAAAAAAAAGGCAGCTATTTTACACATCCATTTAAACACAACAAAAGTTAAAAAAATATTTGTCAATTGTAAACACTGGAAAGAACAAAAGTTGGCAAAAAAAAAAAAATTAACATAAAATTTTAAAGAAATGTTGAGTCTGAATACTGCAAATTGAAATACATCCCCCCAAGCTGCAATTTTGGCATTCTTCCTAAAAAATAGGTAATAATAAACCCCAAATAAAAGCCTAACGTGGCAAACAGGATTCAGTCACAAAGGGCTCGAGACACTTTGCATACTGAACAAATACAAGGTGAACAGAAATTATAACTTATTTATGAGGCTTTACATATTTCAAACTCGACTGAAAAGTATAAAAATAAATTGTGGACTTTGTTCTTTAAGCACCAGCTGTGCCCAGCAGCACAGTGGTTATATCTGCTATACTAACAAAGGAAACAACAGGGTCTCTTTGATTATTTCTTCTTTTTTTTTGTCTTTTTTTTTTTTTTTTTTTTTTTGTCTAGGACTAGTTGATTCTGAGCTTCCCAACCACATTGCAAACAGTATTGCAACTTTTGCTTCTCTTGAATATACACAGGGTCAGCCAAGCCCTGATTTGGTTATGGGTTTAACCCTGTTTTTAACATGTATTACTTTTTAAAAGCAAGTGCACAACGAATAGAATCTTTCTAGAAATATTAAAAAAAAAAAAAAAAAAAAAAAAAAAAAAAAAAAAAAACAAAAAAAAAAAAAAGAGAAGAAGAGAAGAAAATAAAAGAATAAAAGAGACATTCCCCCCTCCCCCCGTTTCTGCATTTTCTGGTTTGTTTGTTTTTTAAAAAAGGCAACAGACACTAGAGGAATGAGATGGGTGTGTGGGCTGTGATTTAACGCTCTCGCTGCGGCGCCGCTGATCATGCTTTGCTCTCGTTCTCATTTGTTTGTGTGGCTTCGGTGGGGACCGTCTTCACTTCTGCTGGAGGGCTCTTCCTGTCTGTCACCTGCGCTTCGGATTTGTCTTCTACTGGGGTTTTCCTGGGGAACAATCACCAAAACGGCACAGTTTAGAGGCACAGAAACACAGGCTGAGGCAGCTGACAAGGCAAGGACATCTCTGCGGCACCAACACCTCGCTTTGGGAGAGCAAAGGGAGCGTTTCCTGATGCAGAGAGGAGCAAAACCAAACTCAGTCCCCCCCAGCCCAGCTTCACTTGGCTCTCCATCCATCCCTTTGGCTGCTCCTGCCCTGGGCTAACACGAGGCAGGACAAGGGTTTGGCTGCAGGGGCTCCAGGTGAGCAAAAAGGGGAACTCGCAGCAATTTGACTTGACCACCCAACTGCCCAGGTCACACAGGCTGTGATTTTAGCAGAAAACCCTTTTTTTTTTCCTACAGGAAGCCAGTCCCAGAATTTCCCAGCACGCTGCAGGAAGCGGAACACAGAAGATGGGAATTTTCCCAAGCGGAAGGGGGGTGTGACCATCTCCACAGGCTCTGCCAGCAGCTGACAGACACACCTCAGCTGAGGGAGGTGGGTCCTCTCCAGATGGCACAAGGCTCCAGAGGGCCCTGGGGTGGCCCTGCCTAGGGATGTGCTGCTGCTCTCTGAATAAATCAGCTGGGTAGAAAGGGACACCTGGTACAGCTGGTGGGAGACTCATCCCCAACCCAACACTCTGCCAGGTTATCCTGACCCCACTGCTCCCCTCTCAGACAGCACCACACTGCCTCATCCTCCTGCCAGCTCAGGGACAAATCCACAGGTTCCTTACTTTCACAGTTCCACATGGCACTAGTGTTTCTGCCCAGCCTTGCACTGAATAAGATTGGAATTTCCACTGATCTGTCAGGAAATGGAATTTGGGTGGTTGTGCTCATTGACCTGCAGGAACTCTGCACCTCTGAGGAAAGCTCTTCCTTTGCACCAAACGGAACTATTTCTGCTCTCTTCCACAAAAGAATAACCCACGAGAGACAAAGCTGCACGAAAAGTCTGAGGAACAACACATTCCCAACAAACTCCCAGGTTTCTTTTCTCTGCTTCCCTGGCACAGCCTACTCCTGGCTTTCCTGCTGGACCTTTCAAGCCAAGCCCTGGTGGTTCAGTGGTGAGTTAGTTGGCTAAGGAAACAGTGAGATTAGTTAAGAGAACACCCAACAAGGACACAGCACGAGCACCAGGGCACAAGAGACACAGCACACAACCAACACAAGAGTAAAGGCAGCCGTACTCGGTCTTTGCAGGCGCAGCGGGTACAGAGCTGTCTGCAGTGGAAGGAGCAGGCTCGTGGGCTTGCCCACCAGCCACACTGGCAGGAGCAGTGCCAAGAGCTGCAAAAACATCCTTTGCAAGATCAATGTCTGGTGTCTTGAAGTTCCCTTCGTCCATTTTAAAGTCCTCGTTCTGGGAGGGGTTCGTGGCGCCGCCCGAGGCAGCCTCGCTCTTCACGTTGCTCGGGTTCTTGGGTGTCTCCGTCGGGCTCTTCACTGTGCTGGGCTGCACAGGCTCCTTCTCGGGGCTCTTGGTGCTGGAGGCCTCCTGCTTGGGCTCTGACGGAGCTGCAGGGCTCGTGAGGTTTGCGGGGCCGGGGGCAGCCGGCTTGTTCCCGGCCGCCGCTTTGGAGGCCTCGGCGGCGGCGCTGGGGCTGAGCACCGCGCCCTGCCCCGACAGGACACTCGAAGACAAACTGTTAGCGGCCGGAGCAGAGCTCGGGGTGTCGCTGAGGTCAACGAGAGGGGCCACTTTGGGGGTGGAGGAGGGTGGCGGTGACGACACCGAGGTGGCGGCCGCCCCTTTGGCCGGGGTGGCCTGGCCGGGCGCCACGGCGTTGGAGTCGGGGGCGGCCGGAGGGGCAATGCTGGAGGTCAGCGTGGTGCTCTCGCTGGTGGGGCTGTTCTGGGCAGTGGCAAAGGTTTCAGTGATAGTGTCAGAGTTAGTGGTGCCCGTGGTGACAGAAGGCAGCATGTCCTCCACGGTGGCTGCGCTGTCGGCGGGGTGCCTGCGGGGGGGACAGGGGCAGAAGAGAAATAGAGACAATGAAGCCCCCAAACGACAGCAGGGAAAGGGGGGGCAGAGAGGGAGAGTGAGGAGGTGGAGCAGCACCAGGTGGTTACAACACACACACACACACACACAACGTGGAGAGGGACTCAAGAGGAGCAGAGATTTTCAGAGGTCAGACATGCAAAGGGAGCGAGGGAAGAGCGAGGATAACTAGCAGAGAAAAAAGGCAAAGAGGATGTGACCTGCAGGAATGGCTTGTTCTTGGAGAGTTTTGTTCAGCTCTGAGGCAAATGGAAACCTGCCACCTCGCAGAGACTCTTCTCTCTCAGCCTAACTTTGCTCTCAGGGCTTCCCCCTGAGCTCCCAGGGAAACTTTCTGCCGATGCCCTGAGCCTGCAGCCCTGTGCCATCTGTCACCACACAGCACGGTCCCAGTGCAGGACCTCTGAACCCAACCCCTCACCTTGGCCCCATCCTTCCACCTGCAGGTTGGCCTGAAGGCCTGCAAAGCCCTCACCAAGCCAACCAGAACACATTTCCTCTTCTCACGCGCACGTGACACAGACTCAGGCCCCAGTTCAGTTCCCTGACGTGAACGAAGCTCACAGGTAGCTCTCAGCCCTCTCTCAGAATCCTCAGACTTGCTCTGCCTCCTCCACATCAGAGCTCAGCTACTCTGCTGCTCTCAGAGGGGTTCAGGTCCCATCCAGCACTGCCAGGCACAGCTCACACAGCACTCGGTGCCAGCCGGGGCTGGCTCTGCTCTGGATCCTCTGCAGTGTCTGATCTCCACAGCCAGGCCTTTCAGGACACACTGCTCCATTCCAGTGCTGGGAACAGGAGCCACCGAACCTTGAGAGGAGGCTCTTCCTCCCTGGCACGTCACAAACGCAGTGTGGAGGTTTCACCTTCCTTCCTCTCCTCCTGCCCTAAGTTGTGCTCATGGGACACCACGGTCAGGAGATTAGGGCAGCTGAGGGCACTGCAGTGACCCCGGGCTAGGACTGGCTAATGCCAACGTACTCTGGCTCTGTCAGCGGGGTGGTCTCGTTGGGCTCCGTGTGTTTGCCCCCGTCGTGGTTGGGGGTCCGCTCCTCCTCCGTCCGCACCTCCACGATGGGCTCCTTGGACTCATCTTTCCTGCAAGGAAGGAATTGCACCGGCATTGGAGCCCCCTCACAGGAACCCTCCCGCAAAGACACGCTGCAAACGTCCACAGTGAGTGGCAGACACACTGGGCTAAAACATGGGGCACTCCTTGGGGTCACTTCTCCTTCCCCACAGCACAGATCTCCAGCGGGATGTCCAGTACTGGGATGTCCAGCACTGGGATGTCCAGCCCTGGGATGTCCACTGGGCCACCTATTTGATGGCCACCAACAGGAACGAGACAAAACCAGAGCAACCACTGCAGAAGCACCTTCCTGGAAGCACAAGGAACCCCAGCCCTTCCCAGCACCCCCCTATCAGAGCTGGGGAAGGCCCAGCCCGCGGGGGCAGCGCTGTCCCCGGAGCAGGAGCAGTGTGAGGGGCAGTACTCACGAGAAGGCAGCTTTTCCCTCCTCCATGTCCTTGCCCTTGGCCCCGGGGCCGGATTTGCCGCACATGTTGACAGCGATGCACATGAGGAGCCCACACTTGTTGAGGAAGTAGCAGGTGACATCCACGGCCACCAGCAGCGCCACGAACACCACGACCAGGATGCCAATGATGGCAGCGGTGCCCAGGCCTGAGGTGGGGCTGGTGCTGGCTTCAGGGACCAAGGAGAGAAGAACAGAAGGCACTGTGGTTAAAAGGGGAGTCAGGGCTTGAGTTTGGCAGCACTTGAGGATACAGGCACAGGAAGCTTTCAGAAAGTTCACCCTCTCTCTAGCAGCCTTGTGTTATAAGCTGGGCTTTATCCCACAGACATGCAGGACAACCTGGAAAGATGGATTCACATCGTCCTGACAGGGCTTTACCCATCTGGACTTGCCCAGGTGGGACACAAAATCCTGGGTGATACCTGTGGGGCCTCAATGTTGATGAGCCCCTTACGTGGTGGAACTGAAAGGGGTTAAACCCTTCCTGCAGCTCAGGAAGTTCTGTGCAGAACTGGGGAGGGGTGAACTGTCCATGGCTTATCCAGAGGCAGTTGAGCTCACCAGTGAGTGCTCAGGAGTGTTCTGGCTGAGGGACAGACAACCCAAGAGCCTTCTGCCCACACAGCACTGACTGCAGGGGAAGTGGAGTTTACCTTCCTACCTGCTTCGAAACCGCTGAGCCCTTCCTTACAAACAGGGAGGGGAGTCCTGTCAAAGCCAGCAGGCACAGCTGCAGCTTTGCAGGCTCTTTCTGTCACCCCCTGAACACCAGGTGCTTTCTGTTCCCCTTGTTCTATTCAGAGTAACTCCTGCCAAGCTGCCCATCTGCAGGCAGAGCATTTGGGTGGTGGCTCATACAGTTCAACACCTATTTAGAGGTACCAAACCACTCAAAACCTGTTTGAGAGTCTCAGTCATCACCTAATTTACCTCTTAGGATGGGACTGTGCCCTCAGCAAAGGCTTGTGCCTCTGACAGAGCTGATGATTCCCGAGACAGCTGGACAAGAGCATCATAGCTGTCATCACTCATAGGAGTATTTTGGGTTTTCTTTCAATTAAGATGCAATTCTAGTCATTTCCACCACATTTTTAACTGCTGGATGTCACAACACCCCCAGCAGAACAGGTGTCCCCCAGCCCAGCCCCCTGCCAGCATCCTGCAGCAAGCTGCATCACTGAAGGAATTAAACACCCTCTGATGTGTGCAGGGAGGGAGGAGGTCATGGATTTTCACTCTCCTGATGTGTTCAGGACTGCTGTGTGAATTATTCACCAACTAATGCATTCCTGTTCACATCAGCTCCTGGAAGAAAAGCTGAGCCTGTGTCAAACTTCTCATCCACATCTCCTCCCTGGGCAGGAGCTCCTGGGCAGGCTCCTGAAGGTGCACGAAGGGAATAATCCCTGACAGGATTACAGGATCATAAGCTCCTTGTGTTCCAAAATACACCTCATCCCCGTCACCAGAGCTGGAGGGAGACAAAAATATTTCATCCTGGGGCTTCTATGTGCTAGAAAACACCTTCTGGAAAATTCCACCCAAACCAGGGTCCTGCTCTTTGCTTCCTCTCCCTTCCAACACCTGCCAGTATCAGCCAAAGGCCCCTCAAAGGCAGGAATTATCTGTGGCACCAACCACCTCAGGAGCCCTGTGGTTCTTGTGTGTGACTCACAGATGAGTCAGGGAAACGTCACCGTCCTGGGGGAAGAATTAAAATCATCAATTCCTGGAAACTCAGTCAGTGGGACTTCAAAAAGGGGATGACTGAGGTCACTGCAGCCCCATGTGCAGAACAGGACGTGGAGCAAAGGCACTCCATTGGAGTGAAGATACCAGGTTCTAAAGCTGGAAACAGAGGGAGGGTGAGCTCAGCTGAGGAATCAAGTATGGAATTTTATCCCCAAAACTGCCAAGAGCTCCCAGGCTACAGTGACTGTGCTGTAACCTGGAGCAGAGTCATGGAAGGCTCTGCACAAGGGAACAAACCCCAGCGAGCTCCAGCACTGCCAGAGGTCCCACTCCTGCTCTGCTGGCCACAAACGACCCTGTTCTGTCTGAACACCCACAGAGCTACTGAGCAGGTACAACACCCCCTCCTCATTCCCCCCTCCCTTCCAGACCATTCCCCTCCCTGCCCCTCTGCCCCCCAGGTGGGGAGATCCAGGGCAGATCTGCAGGGAAATGCCCTTGGTTTTGTGCTATTCTTGTATTTTTGCACTGCAGACAATCAAACTGGGCCAAGGTAATTGCCTGCAATTTGGTTTTTTCTGGGCTAGAAAGAAAGCCCTGCAATTTACAGAAACTTCCAAACCTCTTCTGCTAGTTGAGTTTTATAAATTCTAATCCATGACATGAATTGATATTCCAAATCCTTCAGAGACCAGCAATAAGGAAGAATAATTTAAGAATCCTCCATGACCCCCTGAACTTGGAGGCTGTTAGTGCTGCATTTCTTTTTCCTGTATAAGATTTTGCAAAGGAATTTTGCTGTTGCTATAAAATGCAGAAAGCATCTGGTATGTTATTCATTTTCACAGACTGTCACATCTGATTAAATTAAATTGATCTACAAATGCTTCTAAGAACTACTGACTCCATTCCATAGCAGAATCTAGGTTTTATTTAAGGAAACTAATATTTAGATATCCCTAAAGAGTTTGTTGGGGTTTAAAACAGTTCTGTGTAGAAAGGAAATGTATAAATAAATAGTCACTATTGAGCACCAGCTGCTCACACTCTGTATGAGAGGACATGGAATAAATAGATGTTGGACATTTCTGACCTGATCCAGAGCACATTCAACCTCTCCATTAATCCCCTTTTGCTATTCTCAGGACTAGGAGGAATAACATTTCCACAAGTTAAATAAGGAAACACAAAACATTAAAAAACTTCTGGAGTCCTTAGTTCTAAAGAAGTGAAGAATTTATTAATTACAAATTATATTTTTTTTTTCCAATGGAAAATGAGCTTCCTTGCAAGACTGACTTTTCTGACGCCCTCATGTTACAGTGTACAATAAAATGACCCATGGAATTTTAGTCTCTGCAGCTCAGTTGTACAGACACGTGCCCTGGCAGAGAGAGCTCAGCTGTGTCCTCCTAGTGGGGTCTCAGCTAGGGAATGTTCAGGCACAGGCAGACAAAGAGACAGAAGGGGATGGAGAGGAGCAGGTATGGGTTCCAGGCATTTCCAAAGTCCCACAGTATTTGGCAAAAGAAAGAAGTACAAACAAAACAAATAAAAATTCATTTCATGCATCAGAATTAAAAAAAAAAACGCCCAAAAACCCCCAAAACCCAGGAGAGCAGCTCTTTGTTCTCAGTGGATGCCAGCAGGTTTAATCCAGGGATCCAGGGGCAACCACAGCTTCTCTGGGCAACCTGTGCCAGGGTGTGCCCACCCTCCCAGCCAGCAATTCCTTCCCAGCATCCCACCCAACCCTGTCCCCTGGCACTGGGAAGCCATTCCCTGTGTCCTGCCACTCCTGTCTCTCTGCATCTTTCCTGCAGCCCCTTCAGGCCACCCCAAATCCCTCAATCTTCCAGCAGAAAGAAGCCCTTCCTGTATCTATCCCATGCTGACCAGATTCCTGTTTGCTGTTGAATAAGGGATTAATTCTGAGTAACTTCAGCCACATCAGTGCTCTCTCACCTGACTTGTCTGGCAGAGGAGCCCCTCAAAGCCCTGCCTGAGGCACCTCTCCTTGGACAGAACCACCTCCCCAGGTGCTGCTCTCTCTCCACACCACACTGGAAAGTCAGAGTTTATCCAGGATAATTTTAATAACTGTGACTTGGGTGAGATCTATCTCAGCCTCAGCTAATAACCTCCCTCTCTAGATAAGGGGAGACCCACAAAGAGCTGACAGCAGATCTACAAACGACCTTAATTAGCTCAGTTACAGGGGAAATCACACCATATTTTAGTATTATGAATCCTTTGCTGTAATCACTTTGCAGTGATTTACTTTTCAGTACCACTAAGGTGTAAACTCAGAAGATGTAACACATTCTCTACACTCTAAAACACTGGAAATGAAGGATTAAAAAAAAAAACAAAAAAGATAAATCCACAGGCTTTTATGTGCAACACCTGCACCAAGGTTTTCATTTATAATTTAGATAGAAAAGCAGTTCACAGATCATAATGAACAAGGTCTGAATAAACACAGCAGAGGTTTTATGTGCAGAGCAGGGTTTTGTTTGCCCCTAAAAGAATTCTGTTAGAAAGATTAATCCCATCCAACTGAGAGTATTTTGAGACATTCTGCACAGACAATTCAACAACTGAGTCAACAATTTCATCCCTGGCCACCTCAGGTCCACTCAGAAAGGAGAGACCCCATTTACAGAAGAGCATTGGAGCCAAAGGGATTTCCTACCAGCAAGAAAATTCACGAGGGGCGCTGGGTTTGTTGTTGGGTTGGTTTTTTTCAGGTGTGGGTTTGGTTTTTTTTTTGGGGGGAGGGAGATGTGTGTTGTGGTTTTTTGGGGGGGGGGTTTAAGTAAGGAGCAAAGAAAAATAAAAAAAAGTCACCTGAAATTTGTTCAAATGCAGAAATGCAACCCCCAGCAGTTGGCAGCAAAGATGCTTCTATTGCCCCAGCTCCCAGCAGGGATTGACCCTGCCTGGCAGTGCCAGGGGCACAGCTAACCAGGAACATTGTTAAGATCAGTAGTCACAATAATAATAATACTACTACTAATAATAATTTAGCTGGTCAGGTAACTAAGCTTCTCTGTTAGAGTGGCTTTTAAAGGACAGGGATCTCTGTGAGGCTGGGAAGGTGTTGGCCAAGCATCCAGGGCAGCTCTGTGTGCCTCATGCCCAGCTCCTCTGCCACTGCACCCCGGGCCAGGGGGCTGCAGGGGCTCAGCCAGGGGAGAAGGGAAACAGGAACCTCTTCAGTGCCAGTCCCACCACACATTTCTGCTCAGCACATCAGGAGAACCTTCTGCTGGCCAGGGATTGGGCTCCACATGCCAAAGCCCCCCCAGACACCGGGGCAAGCAGCACGATGGTCTCTGACAAATCTTCGTTTTCTCTGTACAGCCTGCGGGTTCACACTTGTGGCTGGGCCTTTAGAAAGCTTTTGCACAAGACAGTGATGGTCAGCACCAGATGTGCAGGGAAATCAGTAAAAAGCAGGATCTTAAAGGCTTTCACCATTGTGCCTTCCTTTGATGAAAACGGCAAAGCAAACAACGCAAAAAAATTCTTTCTTTACATCCATTAAAAAGGGCAAATTCATTACAAGTAACAAAAAAAAAATGTTAAAGAGAAAAAAACTCGGCTTAAACCTTTTTTTTTCCTTGTTACAAAATACTGACTCTTTCAAATTAAACACTTTTTTTTTTAAAAGTGTTCTGTGTTTGTTTCTTTTTTTTTTTTTCTCTCTGAACTGACATGATCCTCTGAAGCAAAGTTATCTGCTTTCACACCTTGGTGGGACCTTCTCAAGCAAATATTGCTTTATTTTATTTCCTCTTTTAAGTTTCTAACAGAGCAAAAGCAGAGTCACTGCAGAGAGAAGCAATGAAACAAAGGAGGACGACGCTGATGGACTTCCCAAGGTCGCTGCAGGTGCCAGACAATGGTTCCCAGGAGGGGAAAGTATGGTTGTTTAAAAACAAATTTGGTGCATGTGGCAAGCGTGGATGTGTCCCGTGAGATCCAAGGTGACATGTATGACGACAGACACAGGAGAGGGCAAGGGGGGGAGAAAGGGAGAGGGGAGGGAAGAAAAGGAGGAGGAAGAAGAAAAAAAAAAGAAAGAAAGAGAGAGAGAGAAAGAGAGAAAAAATAGATAAAAAAAATTAGGTCATAAATATAGAAAACATAAGAATCCAAGGTCTATTTAATTTCGTAAATTAAAATGGCTCAGGGGGTTCGAGGATCAGCACATTCACAACAAAAGGGCTGGGGCAGAAGCTCAGCAAAGCCCAAAGCTGCAGAGCAGGGTCCAAGGCAGGGCTGAGGGGGTTTGCAAGCAAATGAGACTAAAACTGATGGAACAGAAGGCTCAGCGAGAAACACAAGAAAATGGTTATCTGGTATTTGAAAGGACAACGCTGCCTTTGACACGTACAAAGGAAAGGAAAGAAAAGCTTTTGTGGAGCAGACAATCCACCTGCCTGGCCAAGCCCTGCCCCAAAGCCTGGACTTGGATATGTCCAGGTGACTGAAAACCCTGAAGAAGCACCAAGGTCTGAGGAATCCACTGACTGTTCCCTTCAGCTGCTTGTGGACCACTCCAGTGCAATTATTATTATTATTATTATTACTGAGAACAGTACCCTTCTCCTTCCAGCCACACTGTACAGATGATGGTAACAAAGGACTCTCCATGATAAATACACATTTGCTCTGCAGGGAACTCCAGCTATTGCCACCAAAGCCATGTCAGAGGCACTGGCTCTGACTTGCCCTGTGTTGCTCCTTTTGAAAGCAAAATGCAAAAGCAAAATGCCAGGAAAACAACAAGAGGTGCCCAAAGGGAAGGGAAGGAACACCCAGAGCCTCTTCCCTGCTGCAGTCTGGCACTAGAGCCCCTGGGCTGCAAAAAACCTGCTCCCTGAAAATATTCTCCTCCACCCTAATAGTTTGGGGACCAGCTCAGGGAACACCTTGCAAGGCCAAAATGGCAAAAACCCCAAGAGACACAGTCACAAACCCAGCCCTAACTCGTGTCACTGCACAGGGGCTCTACCAGCACCTTCTGAGAAACAGCTGCATCCAGCTGTTGGGTCATCCTGCAGCATCTGCACTCCCAAAAACTGTGCTTTGGGCATTTCCAAGCGCAGCATTCGAGTGGCAGCCTCAAAGCCTGGTTCCTCCCGTGCTCCACAGCAGACTAAGGGAGGGGTAACTCCAGAGAGGACAAAGGATTTTCACCTTTGATGACAACAAACTGGGCTTCTCTGCCCGTTTTTCAGAGGGTCCCTGCCCGTGTCACTGTGTGATTTAAAGGGCTCTCAGTGGCATCTGGGCTCATTTCACCTGCCATCGCCACGGGCTGCAGCACAATCACCGTGTGCTCCACAAGCCATCAGCAGCCCAGACTCTGCTGATGCACCTCCCAGCTGTCCCATCGGGGGCATGACAAAGGCTAAAATAAAACACCAGCACAAGAAATCAACGGTGGCTGCACACAGAGGGCTGTGGTGGGACAGAAAGACTCATCAGTGCTTGTAACTTAACTGGGGGGGGGCACATCCCCCGCTGCTGCTGTTCCCAGCCTCGCTGGTTGGCTGCTCAGCTCTGAGCTGACCTCAGGGCACCCTCTGCCAAATTACCCTCACCCTCTGCTGCCACATCAGCCTCAGTTGTCCTTCAAATGTGTGAGGGGAGTAAGTATTAGAGCTGTTGAAAATGAGAATCAGAGAGTAAGTTGCTGAATGAGTTACTGAGGGTTCTTCCACCCAAAACTACAGCCTTGTTCAAACACCCACCCCCAGTCTCTCTTTGGCCCTGTTTCCCTCCTCCTCCTCCCTGTCACACACACTGTCCCAGCCCAGCCCAACTAGGTCACTCATTTGTATGCTCAACAAATCATGATCTGCCTCAGCCCACGGGATTTCAGCATTCACACTGCACAAGGTTCCTCCAGCCAGGCAGGGAGTGGGCAAAGGAGGGGGCAGAGCAAGGGCTGAGTTCTCAGGGCAAGGGAAAGAAAACAGTTGTTCTGAAGAAAATACACGAGACTGAGTTCATCCAGAAGGCAGAATGGAATCAAATCATCCCCCTCAGTGTGGACTGTCAGCACCAATCCTGGCCTGAACTCTGGCTGTGCAGTGAGGACCTGACTTAGGATTAACTCCTCTGTCTTTAACCAGCACAACTTTCATGTACAGGTAGCCCAGCAATTCCATCCTGAGGTTTTGGTTGCTTTGTGTGGGTTTCCTCCAACCATTTTTCTTTCTAAGTGTCCACGTGTAGGAAAGAAACACTGACTGGCCTTTCCACACCTTGCAAACTGCTCAGTTCCTGCAGCCCAGCTGATAGTTCTGCTTGGTTTTCACAGCAATTGCCCTTAAACCTCGCTTTTTAAGCACACCAATAAATAAAGTCTGTCTGAAACAAGAGCTTCCAGCAGCATTCTAAAGCTTTTTAGTTAATTTTCCCTCCCCAACATTAAACAGGTGCTGTCATTTGATCTCCATTTCATTTAATAAAAAGACTTTCACTGTCTCCCAAACACTAGCAAACCTCCTTATGCCTTTATTCCTCCAAAGGCTGAGCTGGATGGACAAACAAGCAGTAAAAGCAAGCCCAGAGCAGATTTGGGAGGGGGAAATCTGCGTTGTGATTGCAGATTGCCCCACAGAGCCAAAGAGTTTCAAAGGGGACCTCCCCACTTTCTGAGCTCAGAAAGTCTCACCTGGCGATCCCGACCCAGAAAAAGCCAACCTTCCCTGGGAACAGTGAGGCAGGGGGATGTCAGGAGCACTCCCTGCTGCTGCTGTACATACTGTAACAGGGACCACAGGTATGTACACTCAGGCCAGAACTCAGCTTTGGATGGGGAACCAATCGTGATAAATGGGCTCGAAGCAAGCGAGTTGTCAGGGTTACTCAGGCACATTAAAGGATGCAGCACTGGTGCATTAATTGGAAGCAGAAAACAATGGAAAAGCTGTGCCAGGCGTACCTGGGATGACAGTGGGCTGGGCAGACGTCCTGAAGGCGTAGTGGGCGGGTTTGGACTTGCCCTGCTGGTTCTCTGCCACCACATAGACCTCGTAGTCCGCGTTCCAGTCCAGAGACTTCAGCATCACGTGGTCACTGCCCGACGGGAGCCTGATCTCCGGCTTCCACTCCTGGGAGTGCTTCTGCAGGGCAGGGACAGGCAGGGAAACACAGCCCAGGGTCAGCAGCCAGCCTGGGGAGCTCTGAGAGGGCTGGGAATGGGGAGGCTTCAGCCCCAGCATGTTTGTATCCCATCAGTCCATACAAGTATCCCCAGGGGGTTCAGAGGATGGGCCCAGACTCCTTTCAGTGGTGCCCAGGAGGAGCAATGGCCATAAACCAAAACCCAAGTTCCACCTCAACACGAGGAAGAACTTCTTCCCATGGAGGGTGGCAGAGCCTGGAGCAGCTGCCCAGGGAGAGTGTGGAGTCTCCCTCCCTGGAGACATCCCAAACCCCCGGGATGTGTTCCTGTGTCCCCTGCTCCAGCTGACCCTGCCTTGGACTGCATGATCTCCAGAGGTCCCTTCCAACCCCAGCTATTCTGTGAGAACATGCTCTCTAAGTGGAGAGGATGGGAGGTACCAAAGCAGCCTCTTTCCTGCCCACAATCCCATTCTCTGCATTACCACACCTAAAGAAAACCCCTCATTTCCTCATCTTTGCCCCATCACTGGACCACTCTCAGGGGGGCAAAAGCTGCAACTTCTCTACCTCTCTGCCTTACAAAGCACTTTAAAGAGTGTTCTTACATACCTTAGTATGTCAAATTCAAATCAACTGAGTGACACAGATTTACCTCTTAACACAGGTCTGGCCTAATTTACCACCCCCAATCTATTCCCACACTGGCCTGGCCTACAAGATGCCAGCTTTAGGGCTGTCTGCCTGCCCAGGGAGCAGGGCACAGGCTGGGGTGTGTCATACTTACAGCTTTGTACTTGATCAGGTAGTGTCTGATTGGGGAGCCACCATCGTCCTGCTTGATGACGTTCACTTTGATGGAGTTCCCATCCTCTCCTATGTGCCCTTCCAGCTTGGGAGCGCTGGGTTCCCCTGAAACGAGGGGGGATTGAGGTTTATTTGTTAAAAAAAAAAAAAAAGATAAAAAGTCATGAGGGAAAAAGTACTCATGAAGATCAGAGGAATACTTCACTGCACTTGGGGTACCAGAGTCATCCTGTACCCATTTAGAGACTCACTTCATCGAGTGTGGGAAAACTGGGGTGACCTGCAGGGCCACCCGTGCTGGGGACAAGGGGCTCTGCTGAACACCCCCTGCCAGACCAGCCCAGTGAGCTCAAAACCAGCTCATGAATCGTCCAGTTCTCAAGGCATCCACAGGGAACCACACCAGAACTCTGCAACAGTGAGAGCTGCAACCCAAGAGCCTCAGGAGGAGCACAGGAGAGCAAACTTGGACGCTGAAGTAACATTTGTGACTTTTCTTAAAGCTCAGCCTCTTGCCTGTTGAGAATAAAACTTTTTAAAAGACTTATTTCTTTTCAATACTACTAAGAGTGAAAGGAAATAATAAGTCAGTTGTACTAAGATCAACCCAAAAACCATCCTCAGTTCTAAACCTGCTCTGCCTGGATTTGTATTCAGCCCCTAATGGGAAGCACATGCATTTCTGACTGGCCAGAGAAAGGTTAATCTTCCAGTATAATTCAAAAGTTGATCTTCATTAGTAATCTGAAACCCTTCCCTCTCCCCCCTTCCTGGCCAAAGAAAGGATTTGAGCACATTTTCTTTGGTGAAATATCAATGAGAGAACTGCAAGACCTGGACTGACACAGTAATTTAGGATTAATTCCATTTTCTCGCACACTGTCACATGCTCCAACATCCCAGCTGCTCCAAGAAGGCAATTACCATCCATGGACACCCAGATGTGACACACACACAACTGTGTTGCACAGCACAGCAACTTCTCTTCAAGATGGAGAGAGGCAATGCTCCCTTTTCCCAGGTTCTGTTTTGCTTTTCCAAATCCTTGCTCTGCCTCTGCCCCCATTACAAGGCTCCCACATACAAGCTGGACACTCCAGAGCTGGATTCCACCCTGGGACATATCAGATTAACCAAGCAATTGTATTTTTTTTTTCCTTTCCTCAAACCTGAAAGAAAATCAATCACCACAAAGTTACAGGTTTCAACTGTTGAGCTGATTTGAGTGGAAGGAGCTGCTCTGCAGCAACACTGGCTATTCACCAACAATTAAACAAACCCAAATGTCTGGTTCTACAGCTTTTTTTTACACAGGAAACCAGCTCCCACTATCAACTGGGAACAACTCATGGCCACTGGTGTGGCTGCACACTGAGCCTCTGCTGACACATTCCTCAGTAATTCTCAACCTGCCCTGTCCATGGGATGTGAGGAGTGGTTGGTTCTCTGACAGCTGGGCACGGCAAGAGCAGCCTCTCCTCGGGGCTCTCTGCCATCCTCACCTCAGATGGATAATCAGCAATGAGTAAAGAGAATTTGGAGTGATAAGGGAACACTGTACTTACAGAACCTGACCTTTTATCTAACACAGGATAGATCCTTTTTTTTCCAGTGATTGAGCACCAGCACTAAGAGGAACATCCTTTGAAAAGATGCTCGTTCTTGATTTTAAATGTCAGAGATGCTGCTGTACTTTCCACACAGCCATTCCCAGGATTAATTATCTTCTCTGCTGACCCTTTTCTTCACTATGAATTGCCTGATTTCTAGCTCCTGATTCCTCCCTCCCCCAGTATCTAAATTCACCTCTGCTCTGAGAAACACTGTGCCCAAAGAGGAGAACACTGACCACTCCTCAGGGCTGAAACCCAACAGGAGGCAAAACCACTTCAGTTTTCTCTCCACAATTACATGGCATTCAATTTATCTGAAGTAGGTGGATGTGATCCAGATACAACAGGGCTGTAAAATTAAAAATGGGTTAGTGTGTCAAACAAAGGAGGAAGAAGTTTAGTGGGAAAAGTTTAGTCCAGCAGAATCAGCAGCCCTACAATGAGTGAAAATGTCAGTAGCTGAAGAGAGAGAAGGTTGTCACCAGGTTAGAGAAGCAGCTCATGCTCACAGACATGCATCCTCCCTACAGCACAGGGCTGAAAAGCAAAGAGCATTACAGGGGGTGTCTCATGCCTGGGGATCTCCCACTTACACCCAGCAGAAATCTGCCCCTTCCACCCTTCTCAGGGGCATTTTCCAGCCTTGATGTTCCACAGAATGCAGGGTAACTCAGAAAGAATCTGATCAGCTGAACAGGAAATAAGGACTTTCCTGCAGGCTCCCAAAGGCTGAATCAGTACCTGCTGGCTCCCACCCCTGGTGTGAGGGGAGCTGAGGACACTGCTCTGGGACATTGCATTTCCAAATGGGTTTTTATTCACTCCTGCTAAGCCCTTAGCAGCAATGATCTCCTGCTGCAGGGCAGCAGTAAATGGTTCCTGGTATCCTCGCACTGTTTAGTTTACATTCAGTGCTTCCCTGACCTAATATCACTCTGATACAGTTGGGTTTCAGAAGCTGGGTTTATTGTTGCCTGGTTTTCAGAGGGTGCCACAAGCACCAGGAGTGCAGGAAAGCTTCAGGTGGGGAGAGAGGAGAATATGAAGAAATGAGCACACACTTCTCCCTGGTCCCAGGGCACTCAGTGTGTGCTGGACCCCAGAAGGGACAGCAGTGCAGGTGAGACACCTTATACCACACCTCTCCTCTGCCTACCTGGGAAAGCAGCTCAGACTGGTTACCAGACACTTTAGGCTGAGCTTAAATCCTTGCCCAGCTGGCACCAAGGAAAGATCCTGCATCCCTGCTGTGCTTAGAGAGTTCACACTGCTGGTGATGGTAATTTCTGCCACACAGGAACAAGGAAGGAGCTGATTTCTGCAATCTTTGACCATCATGTAAACAGGACTAGATTGTGACCTGCAGAGTCACAGCTGGAAAGAGATGCCAGGGAAAGTCTCCACGAGTGGGAAATACACTGAGGAAGAACAGGGCAGGAGGTTTCAGAATGCACACAAGAGAAGCATAACACCAACAGTCAAAAAGAAGGAACAAAAAAACATGCAAAAACGAGACAACCAAGTCTTCAACCCTCCTGGAGTCCAGCCAGAGAGGGCAGAGACCTGGCAAGAGGGGTTTCCTCTGTGCATGCAGTCATGTGGGAAGGTTACTGGTGTTAGTTTTGTTTTCCTGGCAAACCCCAGCCTAAATCCTTTCCTGGACTGGCCAGGACAATAAGGTGAGTTCAGAGTTCACAGGTTGAAAAAAAGCCAATTGGTTTTCACAGTCCCTCGTTTAGCTGGGGCAGCAGAAGAGGCTCCCTCCCTCCTCCCCTTCAGGTTATGCAGAGCATCAAGTGAAGTTGTAAAAATCCCAGCACTGCAGAAACTGTTTTCACTGCCACGCACTTGGAGACTGAGTCCATCTCCAAAAGCTGCAGGGGTCAGTCATTTGCTTCTTGATTTCATGGAGACCAGCAGCTGCTGGGACATGAGTTTGGGTTAAAACCTTGCCAGGCTCCCAGACACTCCAGGGGTGGAGCAGCAAAGAAGGTGCAACAGCACCTCTGATGGAAACTGTGTGAGGTGGAGCTCCCACCATGAACTCTGTGTGTGCTGTTTTATAGTATAAATACTATATATGGTATGATATATATATATATATATTATAGTGTATATATATGGTATTTTATAGCACGGCTCCCATTCCAGCTGTGCTGAAGTTTTACTCACAATACAAAAAATGATCTCTCAAATCTCAAAGTGACATAAAATCCCAGTAACTGGATCTCAGAGATGGAGCATTTAGGATTCTTTTTGGAAGGCTACTGAACGTGTACAGTGTGACTGTGTGTATATACATATTTATACACCTATATAAATGTGTGGTGTACAGGGTCAAAATGCTGCCAAAGCCACAGGAGAGGTGGTGTTGCTGCAACCCCCCATCAAACACCAATCTGTGGTTGGCACCCTGAGGGGTTCTGGCCACTGGTGTTCACTGCTGAGTGTTCCAGACTCTCCTGGGACAGCTCCCTGCTGGCCCCAGAGTGAAGGAGCAAATGACTGAGCTGTGGCATCCCTGCCCTGCTGGTTGTGTTTGCCCAGCTCAGTGCAGGACACCCAGGATGGGTTAGTGCAGAAGTTGAGTCCTTCACATGCAGACAAGTGATGAGCAACTTCTCCAGAGGGGCTCCAGTGGGAGGATCTGTGGAGTGACGGAATTTGGAGCTTCCCTGGCCAGCGACCAGAGGGGAATCCTCACCCCAAAATCTAGGCAACCAATCAGAACAAAGTGTTTTACCTTCTGTTCACCAGCGAGGACGACATCAGCAGCACCATGCAAGCCACATGACAAAGTCACATGATACGCACGCACATGATTTGGTTGAAAGGAAAGTGGAGGAGGTCACATGGAAAATACAAAAAAATTAAAAAACTGATGTAAACAATGGGCAAGGGAAAAAAAATCAACAACAGAATTACAGACTAAATAAAATAGGAGCAAAATCAAATTAGCCAGTATATATCAGAAACACCGGGGGAGACAGTAAAACCGCCTGGAAAATAAGAATATTAAACCACAGAAAGCACTGGGTTATGACCTGGGTTAGGCACAGCTGCGTCACTGCTTAGTGATACCACACCAAAGAACAAAAGGAGCAAAAATTACTGCAGAGTGTGTGCCAGAAATGCTGGAGGAGTCCACAAGACTGTTGGAAAGAAAAAGGGAATATTGTTAATATCGTCCTCCCCTCTGCAGAACACGTGTCTTCCTAAATAACAACAACTGCAACTGCAAGAGAGAAAAACCTGCTGGCTGTGAACGTTTCCAAGGCCAGAGCTTCCCACCAAGGAGCTGCAACTGGAATTTGGTCAGTGAGGGTCTGCACTGGGTGCCCGAGCTCTGCCCCACCCACAGTGGTTCCACTGAGGGTTCTGTCACTGAGGACAGGGATGAAGTGCTCTGCTCTGGAAATTAATTACCAAGCTGGCCCAAGGGAGACAGCAAGTGCTGGAAAAGATGAAGGAATGTGCAGTGTGTGACAGGGG